TTCATTTCGCGCCAGTTCGGCAGGGAAGGAATCCGCCCTTCTAAAGCAAAAAAAGCATTAATTATTATTCACTAAATTAATAATGTTTAGTAATTGAGTTTTTTGATGAAAGAATGTTTATTTTAAGTTTCTTTGTTAATTTTTTCAAAACTTTTAATTTGTTTAGCTACTTTTTTGCTATGAATATCTTATGTTTTTGTTAATTTTGTATGCATTCATAATTCATTTTAATACAGCAGGTCTATTTTTGTTTGTTATTTTCTATACAGTTTCAATAATGCACGCAGTACAGAAAATCATTGCCCAAAACAATAATTTTACTATTCCAATTTGCACATAATAATATAATAGTATTATGCACAAAATGCAAAAACTTATGGCGCAACATAGTAAATTTAATGCACAAATGTTATTGCGCATAGTATAAAATTTAATGCACAAAGTATTAAAAATAATGCACACTTAATTACGACCCATTAGATATATAGTTGGCATTATTAAATTTTTCAGTTCATGTAAAAAGTGGACCAGTTTAAAATTTTTGATAAGGCATTAATTAACATTGTTTTAGTAATTATAAAACACCAATAAAATTTTATTTGTTCATCTTCTTCAAAAAATTGGTGACCAAATCAAAAAAGTAACATTAGACTGAAAATTCCCCTGTGTGCACATTTCTTTACTCAAACATTTAAGCCAATTCTATCCAAAGCCAACATTTCAACATTATATCATGGTATAACATGTTTACAACCAAAATATAATGACACAACAAATCCATCAAGTATAAACCCATCACATGTTTACCACAATTTATAAAACACTAACCGTATGCATAAAAACGACTGTTTTTGACTTTGTACAGAAAAACCTGGGACGATTCAACACATCATTTCGTCCTGTGGCGTCCTGGCACGAACTGAATACAAAGACAGACATAACAATGCAGGCAAGATCGTTGACAAAGAATTAACAGCAATTGTAAATTTAATTTCCATCACTATTCCTTGGAAACACCTGCTACAAGTTACATTGGCATCACACATACTTACAGACTGAAACATTGTTGTAAACAGAGTAATATTTACCAAGGAATATCAACGAATATCAGCCATTCTCATCAACAGTGATGTTCCTTAGTTGAGAACTTGAAGTTTATATATTTAACGAATCAACAGTTGTCCAAATTCAGAAAACTATTTTGTTAGGAACATGTTGTTGTTTCGTTCGTAAGTTTCTCGAGCAGTCAGATCGTGTTAACCAGAGTAGGTTAGCACAGCTAGATCAGAGTAATATTGGTCACGTGTCAGATGGGTGCGTAGATATGATCGATAGTTACAATAGGCTCATAGGGATGGGGTAAGATGTAATAATAACAGACGAATCTGTATGCTGTAATTCTCAGATCTCGAAAGTGGTTTTATTTGTTTAGTATCCTGATTGATGATCATTTCCGGGTCAGTGGTGCGTTTAAAATAATAACGAATGAATTACTGAACAGTATATGAATGTAGGATTGATTGAACTTTAGAAACAAGGATTTTTTTTACAAACAACTCTAAGCTAATTGTTATCTGTGTTATAATAAATATAAAATTTCTGAAATGACATTTTGTAACACAATCTACATAACGGATTTTTTTGAAATTTTGGTATTAAACTACTATTGATCAAATAATTAATAATAAATGAGAACATTGATTAAAATTAGTTTGTTCACCCCATTCAAGAAGTTATTGACATCAACTCAAAAAATTATGAAAGAAATAAATGCTTATAAAAAGTATGTCCTGAAGTGTTATTTTCGTTTAGTAACATATTTACACATTTTTAGTTTTTAGTAGTTACTTAACATGCCAAAAAAGTGAATGAAACGATGCATTTTATTGATTGAGTAAAAAAGGCATATCCAGTTTTTTGAAACCCGAGAAAGTTGTGTTGTTATTAATAGTAACATACATTGTGCGGATAAAATCATTATATTTGCCCCCGTTACAAATTTGATGACTTCATCAGAAAATGTACTAAGCAAATCTTATTTGAAACATAAAATATGTAATACGTTCTTTTACGTGTGATTTAATAATCTACTGCTATTTTTATTATATGGGATGTCCTACTAAAGAAAATGTCGTAGCATTTTAAAATTAATGATGGTACCATTTAAACAAATTATTAAATAAAATTTAATTAAAAAAAAAAACTGTGCATGCATTTATTATCTTTCGGGGACGAGAGAAGTTTTGTGCAAATCGTTTTCAGATTTTTCTAGAAAACCACATAAACGATTTCACGCGAATTGAGATAAGATTTTTATACGTAATTCACTGGGGGTAATGCAGTATTTTAGAAACCGTAAAAACTTTTATTTAGGAAAATATGTTATTGATATGCTATTTGATAGAATAGCGTTTGAAGAAAAGTGGAAATATCTCCCAGAGCCATTTTCATTTTTTTTATATGTATTTGGCTACAGGTGTGCAAATAATAAAATGACGAAAAATTCGAGTGATATTATTTTATTAAAAACACCTTCCAGACTGTCTTCACTATGGAAATACTGATAAATTAAAAATTAATGTTAAAAATCATAAATGTGATCTTTTACAATCATAACTGTATTATTTCCGGGTAACTATACAGGGTTAGTCACGAGAGAATTACTTCTGAAAATTATTTTTAAGCAACCCAAAATACTAATACCCTGTACCACTTGATATTATCTAAATTTAAAATGAAATGCCTAATCCATGATTGCGTTGACTTTGGCAGTGTCACTTTGACGTTAATAAATTTTTAACATATTTTTTTTCATCGTTGACTCGTCTCTAGAGCCCCATTGGATCGACGACATACAGTCAGATCAATCTGGGCTATACTAAAGCCGTAAGTGCTCAAGTGCTCTACCAATGTTGTTCGCCGCTAATGTGCATGTGTTAATTCGCCATCTCTGCGTCACCTAGAGCCTCTTCGAAGTGCAAATCTGCAACCTCTGGACTTCTTCGGCCATCTATTTACAAAAAAGCCGTAGCATCCCCCCAAAATGCCCAACATTTTCAACAGATTAGTATTAGTAGTTAAATTATTTACTTACTTGTTTGAGTTTGTGTTGTAACCTTTGAATAAAATGCCGTAAAAGGAATTTTTAGAAATAATTTTCTCGTGATTAATCGGTTGCAAAAGATCAAGAGGCACACTGACAAATTTATTAGCGGCGCCGGAGAAGATTTCCGACTGGCTGCGGTACCACCATGGACACTCACGTAACCTCCTTTTCCACAATTGTCAAAATGAGATTGCCAAACTCAAAGCAATCATGGATTAAGCATTTCATTTTAAATTCAGTTAGTATCAAATGGTACATGGTATTCGTATTTTGGGTTGCGTAAAAATAATTTTCAGAAGTAATTCTCTCGTGACTAACCCTGTATATAGATTTAATGTTGTTAATCGTTGTACATTTTTTTCTGTGCAATGAACTTTATTCCATTCTATTTTATTTTAAGTTTTATGCGGTAGTAAAAATGTCATTTTATGATAATAAAGATTTATCTTTACACTTCCGTTGTAAAATGTCGATATTGTTCCATTTTTATGTAACAGGCATTTTGTAACTACAATACGAAATAGAACTGTTCTACTCAGGTCAAGGAAGAATATCCAATTTGATAAAAGCGTCGACTTACTTCTTAGCTTGGGTAACTTATTGGATAAGTCTTCACAGTTAATGTAATTTATTAATTAGAAATAAGTAATTTATAAGCTTAATTTGGATTCGTAAGTAGTGTAGTTAATAGCAACATATTACTTTATTACTAATAATATCTATTTCGCAAATTTATTCAAATGCAAAACTTGCAACATATTAAGTGTATAATATTGCGTGTTTTATTCCCGGACGGATAATTTTTATATCTCCGGTAAAATAACTGATTTTGTTCGCTTGTTACATAAATAACTCTGATATGTTTTGTAATCATTGCAAGACGTTTCATTGCACACACACTAAAAAATTTACTTCAAACTAAACATAAAAAAACATCATTTGCCAATTTTATAACCTGTTCAGAGTACAAAGGAACGATTTAAATTTATATATTTATACAGTGCCTTCGATTCATCTGCTGAAAAATAAACGATTAAATTAAATGGCTACAAATACTTACAAATAACGACATATAGGCCAAAATATGTTTGCTAGCCTAGCAACCGACTTTTTGGTATGTCAACAGTTAAAAGATGTTAACTAAAGTTGAGTCAATTTTGAAACCTTGGTCAAAGAGTATGTGTCATGGATCATTTTACTCTCTTTGTGTTGTCACTTTAAGCCTCGAGCAAAATGATTCACTTCTTACTAAATAACCAAGTATTTACTGTATCCCATTATAATCATAGTTCAGTTTTCTTTGTAAATATGTATATCACATGAACAAATAAAAATTTCAACATTAGAAGTATGAATTCAAGTGTTTTAAATTACATCTAATTTAGCAGGTGTCATTTGATTTTGGCACAGCAGTTATTACACGGTTATTTTATAAGTGTTATGTTTTTATTTAATTATTATATATTTAGTGTATGTTAAAAATTTTTTACTTCATCTAATTTTTCTTTACCTTACGAGCCTAAACCAAGGAAAGGGTCATTCGGCAAATAGTTATTTTCTTGTTTTCCTCTACCTATAGTATGAAAAAATACTGTCTCGTTTTCGTCTGTCGATATTTATTTATTAAAAATTTTAAAATAGCCATCAATTTTGCATTTAATTAAATGTACTAGTAAATGTGCAGTACTAATGCTCTTAGCTAAGAATTGTACTAAATAAAGTACTTAAAATAAACTAAGTGAAAATTATTCATTTATTATTGTTATCGTCTTATTATCACTTATCAGTATTGCAACAGTGTTGAAATAATAATAATGTCAATTTTTACTTAGTTAGAAACCAACTCAATACTCACGTCTCAACTATTTTGTAACATTGTACATTGAATTTTCAGACGAAGTCCCCCTGTGAAAAGGTTATCCGCCGCGACATAGCACGAACCTACCCTGAGCATGATTTTTTCAAAGAGAAAGATGGCCTCGGCCAGGAATCTCTTTTCAACGTCATTAAAGCATATTCCCTGCACGATCGAGAAGTGGGTTATTGCCAAGGATCCGGCTTCATTGTAGGCCTCTTACTTATGCAAGTGAGTTTTTAGGAGATTTTTAGAGCTCAATAAAATTTTTACGTGTTTTCCTGTTTGTAATGGCAACATAATAAAACGGTTGACTGAAAATTCGCTATTTGTGGATTCTAGATGCCCGAGGAAGAAGCGTTTGCGGTTCTTGTCAAGATAATGCAAGATTACCGCATGCGAGATATGTTCAAACCGAGCATGGCGGAATTGGGTCTTTGTATGTATCAACTCGAAAACCTCGTGGCTGAATATTTGCCAGATCTCAACCAGCATTTCCAGTCTCAGAATTTCCACACCTCTATGTATGCTTCCAGCTGGTTCCTAACTTTATTCACCACAGCTCTGTCGTTACCTCTTGCGTGTAGAATTATGGATGTGTTTCTGTCGGAAGGGATGGAGATTATTTTCAAAGTGGCCCTCGCCATGCTGACTTTAGGGAAAGATGAATTGATGTCGTTGGACATGGAAGGAATGTTGAAGGTGAGTTTTGGGAACTGTTTGACGAAAAGTGTATGATCTAGTTTTGTAACGTTGTTTACTTTTCATATCAGCTTATCTGTAGTTCTAGTAACGAACAGGTTGATTAATCATTTGTAAGATGACAATGGCGGTTGCTAAATATTTGGATTCTGTTAAAGATGTAAGTGAAAATTATTTAAGTGAATTTGTTTGTGATTTGTTTGCAGTTCTTCCAAAAAGAACTTCCTGCGAGAGCGGAAGCCGATCCGGAAGGTCTTATGCAATCAGCTTACAACATGAAATACAATGCCAAAAAAATGAAGAAACTAGAAAAAGAATACAACGTAATAAAAACGAAAGAACAGGAAGAAATGGCCGAACTGAAAGTAAGTAAATATATTCGATACGTAACTGTTATTTAGTTTGCTTGTTGTTAGCGGTTGAGAACTGAAAATAAGCAGCTAAAACATCGATGTGAAATGTTAGAAGAAGAAAGCAAAGCTTTGGCTGATCGTCTAGTCCGCGGACAAGTCAGTAGAGCCGAAGAAGAAGAAACTACTTTCGTGGTCCAAAGAGAACTAGATGTGTTGAGGCACACACATTTAGAAACGACTCATCAACTAGCTTTAGCAAACGAAAAAATTAGGTCTTTATCTTTAATGATGGAAGAAACGGTAAGTTTACATTTCTGTCTGAACCATTCAGTTTACTTTTGTCTAACAGCATACTTCGAGACAATCTTCCATCGACGAAATTTCCTTGAAACAAGAGCAACTTCAACAAAGAGAGGAGATGATCGAATGTCTTCAAGAAGAATTAGTTAAAGTTAGATTGAGAGAAGCTGAAAACGATGCGCTCATCCGTGACTTGCGAGCCCGGATACATGAACTAGAAGAAGACAAAAAAACGTTGCGCGAGATAACACCAGATAACAGTGTAGCGCATCTCCAAGAAGAACTAATTGCTGTGAAACTGCGCGAAGCTGAAGCTAATCTCTCTTTGAAAGACCTCAGGCAAAGAGTTTCAGAACTTAGCAACCAATGGCAGAGGCATTTGCAAGAACACAAGCAAGAACCGACTTCTTCAGGAGAACCACACAGCACACCGAAAAAATTGCTGTTTTGGGAAAATCGCAATAACGAAACTCAAAAATTAGAAGACGAACTCATGACCACTAGAATAAGAGAAATGGAGACTCTGACAGAAGTGAAAGAATTGAGGCTGAAAGTGATGGAACTGGAAACTCAGGTTCAAGTGAGCACGAATCAGCTGAGACGCCAAGATGAAGAAATCAAGAGGCAAAGAGAAGAACTTGAAAAAGCCGAATTGAGAGACAGGGAGGCCGCGGCTCGGTTGCTTGAAGAACACAGACGTTACGCTGATCTGGAGAGTAAAATGCAAGATGAACTGATGAAAGCTCGAATTAGTGACGCAGAAAAGACACAAGCTATTGCGGAACTCACGCAGAAGATTAGTCAACTTGAACTGAAGGTAGTAAACTTGTTTTGGTACTTGTCGTGAGGAAGTTAATAATCATTTTAGAGTCAAGAAATTGCCACTGAAGGGGAGCTTCGAATTCAATCAGTTGATGACAGCGATCGAGTAAGAGAATTGCAAGACAAAGTTGCAGATCTACAAGCTGAGGTAATTTTGTTTTTCAGTGAAGTTGATTGAATGGTTTCATCACGTCTCACTGAATTAATTAAAAAGGCACACGCTTTTGCTTAACTAACATGTGTCCTGTATATAATATTGCTTAACGTCTAAAAAAAAAAAAATAGTGTGATTGTGCTAATATATTTATTTAGTTTCCCACGCCCATCACCAGTCCGGATACTGAGCCGTGGAAATGGCTCGAGTAAGTCAATACTAATGTAGCTTTGGAGTAGAATGTTTGGAACTGTATATGCATGGTTGTTGTAGCTAACAGTGTTTAAGTTTTTTTGTATTGTGCATTTATTACCTTGTTTTCCACTGATACTTATTTAAGGAAATATTAAACTTAAGTAGTTTGAGTGTCACCATCACTATATCAGATAAATTATTGGGCACGAATTTAATATTACAAATCTTTTTGACATTCTTGTATGTACTACCATGGTTATTGCAAAAAAGTTGATTATTTTTATCGAAACGATTTTATTGCTCATGCTTAAATGCAGACACATGAGATAATTACTTCTGGGGCATAAACTCCTACCCAATTTTCAGATTGTATTAAAGTGACATTTACCGTGAATACAACAATAAAACTTGATTAAACTGGTTGTACATCAAACATAATTGTTTTAAACTTCCATTATTTCATATATAAACATTATCACAGATAAAGTATGTAGTTATGATGGTGTTTTTTACTCTTGAATAGGAATTTTTTGGAAATATTTATTGATTCGTTTCTACATAGATTATGTAACTAGTTGATTTGTCATCTCGTACCAATATTTATATTTATTTCCTACGTAGAATGAAATTTGTTTAAAATAAGTTTTTTTCTGCATAGAGTTGCTTTCGCTGTAATAATTAGTGATAACAAAGCTAAGACTAAGCAAACGAATCCTTTGGAATATTTTGTTGTTTTTGTGAAAAAAACAAAAACAATGTTAACCCAAACATCACGCCAAAATGAGATACGTGCATAGTATTAACGAAAAATTCAAAATTTGGACTGTGATCGTCCACAAAATTGAGCCCTATGTTTTTTTTTTATGGCAGAATGCGTTGGAAAAGTGTCCTTAAATCAAAATGTAAAATGTGAAGGACGTATAGTTTACCTTGAGGAGGGCATAACTATTGAAATAAAAATAAGCTATTGGGGAACCCATTTCTAAACTGTAAAAACTCTCTGCAGCTGTGAAAATTGAAATGATATGAGAGAAAAACATTCAACTTTAACTGGAAACCGTGTGTTCCGCTTTCACCACACGATCTTGTGCTTTTATGTCAATTAAAATTCAAATCCTATCGTATTTACTGATTTTTTAACGATTGCTGGCTGATTGAATGAGTATTAGAGTTACAGGAAATGAAACAAATAACATTTAATTACGCCACACTTTATCCAGAATTTCAAACAGCAAAGTGTTTTCAGAATGCTAAATTATGCATTAATTCGAGTTAATGGTGAAACAAAAAATGTGTTCACAGATTACATCGTCGTGGACCGAAAGTAAACCTCACACTACGTAAAACAAAGCACATACGAAAATAAACACAACGGTCAAAATCAAAAATCAGGCGGATTTGGTGCGAATATCAGGTTACGAAAATGTCTCAACAATAAAATCTCCAAATTCAGATTGTCGAACGGTGATACACAAAATAACAACATTATAAAAACAAGCTCAAATTAAATCCCGCATTCGCCGGCCCACAATGTTATTAATTTGACAGATGAAAATTTTCAAGGTCCCTTCTCTCAAAAAGGATCAATGTTTAAAATTAGTCGAAATGCCATAAATGAACTATGATTAAATCTCAAGTGAGAAGTTTTAAAGTGTTACAATACAGATCTTTTGTATGTCATTGTTCCAAAGAATGAGTGAATGTCAATTTTTCTAGGTCTTCGTCTTAATTGCCATTACAGCGTTAGATTACATCATGCAATATCAAATCAAATGAATTAGATTTGGCAGTGAGACCAGTTGTGTTGGTTCATCTGTAAAGCTGTTTAGTCCAATCATAAGTTACTTACACCTTATTTACAACATCAAAAATTATGATAAGTGTCAATTGCGGTAAATGTCAAAAATTAAGTGTGTTCAGTTCACGGTGGTAGAAGTAAGGTGTGGAAACAAGCCGCTCCAATTTGTTGAATAAAACACGCATCCCAGTAGGCTTATTTACTACGAAATAGTATGCAGCACAGTATGTCCATCTATGTATTAACATTTCAACTTGTCAGTGTATTTATGAATGAAATAAGTGACAGATTCGTTGGAGGGAAAATAAATCACAGCACTACGGTTTGTGGTTGGTCTTTGGTGTGAATCGTGTGACTGGCGGATGATTCGACATTTGTGATTGGGTAATAAATGACATTGGCATAAATGTCAAAGATTTAATACAGTTTTCTATTACTTAATTTCAACTGATCTCTCTAGACGTCGCTGCGGTGTGGACAGATAATGACATATAATCCAAACCACGCGATTTGTGTTTTCTACCAATGATTTTGAGGAAAGTTATGAATGAGGTTTCCACACCTTACTTCTACCACCGTGGTTCAGTTAATCAACCAAAATATGAATGTCATTAGTTAATAGCAATTTGTAAGAATATCATCATGTGATATGGGTTGCTGGTGAGTTTAATTTTGTGAGATTAGTTTTATTTTAACGGTCTGAAAACTGCCATTTTACACTAAAATAAAAAAATCAAACTTTTACGCTTTTAAAAATAAAACCACTGCAATAGATAGCGATTGAGTTAAATATGTTGAGTAACGGAGATTATCCAAACCTGCTCTATGGACATTTGATATTGTATCCAAGGATATAAAATGTGAAGATAGATGCCAAAATACGTACGAAAATTAAAAATTTCGTTTATTAGCTGTTGCATCGTTTAGGGAGAATGATGAAACCTGAACCCTTGCCCCGCATAGCTCCTTATTTTGATGTACAAGTAACTTTTAGCTAAATGGTAATTTTTAATCCTTCATTTTAATAACGGTCAATTTAAACGTCCTCAAGCTGTATTTATTAAATAAAGCTCGTTCAACGTCAGTTTGAGGACGTTTTTTTTTATGTCTATTTCAATGATCTTTCTGATCTGTAATTTATAACAAATAGTTCACAGAATAAGGCCAATAGTTAATTTTGTTGCATGAAATATGTTATGGATTTTACTTACTAGCATTTTAAATCCAATTTGGCCGACTGATTATTATGTCATCAAGCTCAACCAATAACATTCTATAATGGTTCCATTTACGTTGTTAATTTATTGTAGCTCTGTTGAGTCTATTTGCACACCTTAATTTGTGACCTGCGCGTTTTGCCAAATCTTGAGCATACAAAATGCTTATTTGAGGATTTTTACGCACTGGACTTATAAGATAAGAAGAAGCGAATATAATAATAATAATCATTGTTTACATTCACCGTTATTTATGTAGTTATGATAATTTTTTATCATCATTGTACACCAAGTACAACTGTTAATTTCCAAGATCATAAATTATAAGCTATTTTGTGCAGATTTGTTAATAATAATTATGCGTTGCTGTTGATTAATTTGATTCTAATATGTGTTCCTGTGTCAGGTCATGAGGCTGGAGTCGTTCAAAAGACGAATAATCACCGGGGGTGGTCGTTTGCCGTCAGAAAGGTCGTCGTCCATAGATAGCACCGATGATGATACGAAAATTAGGTTGGACGATCCTTCCCTGAGATTGAACATAGTCGAGTCTCCTACCTCCAAATCTGAGCTTACATTTAATGAGTTGTGCAACAACCCCAGTGTAAAAAACGACGGCAAAATTGAACTCGATCCCAATATGAATACGCACACTTCTGTAGATGCTCATGAAGGAAAGTGTGCACCAAAGGTCTGACAACACGACTGAATTACTAGAACTAGTTCAATATAGAATAAGTTTTTGTAGTATTTTTTGCCTATACTTTTTGAGGTCAATATAAGGGGAATTTGTAATTATCGATTTATAGGCGTTCTGCCACTCCTTATGGATGAATAGAAAATATGGTGCATTTATATTTGTCTAGATTTACTCTAACTTATTGTATTTTTTTAATTATTAAAGTATATGTTATTAGGATTTTAAGTTTATGTACTTAATCGATTCTGAAGTGTGCAATTTCCGTGTTTTTTGTTATTTTGAGAAACTATGTGGTACCTATGTAATTTAATTAGAATTTTGTGCATAATAATAGATTTTTTTCTTGGAGTATGTAACCGAGAATTAACTTATGAATTAGTGAGACAACTAGACGATGTTAGATTAGATTTTCTAATATTCTATCTGTGTTAAAATGGTAGTATTAAAACTAAAAGGGCTGTTTATAATAATTATACTTTGCTGCGCAAAAGTCGTTGAAGACAGTATTTTTCTTTATTAAACCTGCTGGTCGAGCATAATGGCGTCTGAACCAGTCAACTACCTATTAATAGGTGCTATTTTGTTCTCTATAGGTTGCAATAATTAATACATTTAAAAAAAAAAACAACATTCCAACGTTGAACATCGAAAATGTTTTATTTTTAGATATAAAATAAAAATACTCTAAGGTGACATATTGCACGTTTTAATTGGTGTGGATAATTTATTTTTTATATATTTTTAATTAACGCGCGAAAATTTATTTATTCCAAATGATGTAATATTACAGCAATAAAAATTATACTGTGTTGCAATATGTATATGTTAAAAGTATTTTAATTTATGTATTGTTTGTGCTTTTTATTCTTTAAATATATTTGTATCACAAAAATACGCAGGAGTGTTTTAATAACTGAATGAAATTACCTCATCACATCGATACTTGGTGATTCATATCTAAAATTGCGTCATAAATGTTGGAGATATTATTACACCTGTTGGCTGTTCCAAATTCCTGATAAGAATAATGGGTATTACGATAATTGTTATTGTTGTAGCTTGTGTTTAAAATGACATGAAAATGTTTCTAAATAAAGTACATGACCAGAAAGTAGAATTACTGGTATGTATGGTCTCATATTTTTTCAAAATGTTAACAAGTTGACACTATTTCAGCGTGCCGTGTTTCGTAATATGTATTTAAAAGAAAAATGTGATTACTTAGATAGTGAATGCAAGATGTTGGCTGATCACGTTCTGTCAAGTCAAGTGACCAAAGCTGAACAAAGTGAGCTAATAATTGCTCTAGAAACTGAGTTGTGTAGTTTACGACAAATTCACGATCAAAAGCTCCACGAACTAACCATAGCTCAGGAACATCTGGCTTCAATGTCAATGATGCTAGAAAATACGGTAGGTAAGTAAATGCAACCCTTACGATTGGAACTTCCTAATTTTAAAATTTATAGCAATCATACATACTTACTTCTTTAAACGAAAATAAATCTATGAATGAAGAATTAGAAATTAAAGACGACATGATAAAGTGTCTTCAGGAAGAATTAGTTCACGTCCGTTTGCAGGCTGCAGAACAATGGGCTCTTATCCGCGAATTAAGACAGATAAAAGACGAACTAGAAAAAGATAAAGAAATGTTGACAAAGACGAAACCCGAAACGATTTCACGATTACAGGAAAGACTTATGGAATTTAAGGTAGTGGAAGCCCAGTTTGGTCTAGAGCTTGATAAAATTAAACAACTGACGCAACAAATTAAAGCAGAAGTTGAGTTGCATAAGGTGAGGAAAAACTTAAATAGCACTTTTATATTATAAATAATGCCAGGCGAGCAAAAAAAGTAAACTAGAACTAGATTTTTTTAATTACCACAAGAAATCATAAATTCTCGCGGCAATTTATTACTTATTGTGTTGCAGAAACAAGTCGAAAAAGAGAAAACTACAAAGGCAGAAGGCAATGTGCTACTATCCAAGAAAGGAGTTATATGGAAAACTGGCGAAAATAATACCGAAAAAACAGAATTAAAAGAAGAAATACAAAAATTGGAAAGCGAAAAATTGTATCTTCAAAGCAGGGTTTGTTATTTTCTCTCATGTTTCAGATTGTTGTAGTTGCTGATTTTGTTTTGTAGATACCAAGTCTACAAAATAAGATAGAAATTTTAAACAAACACGCAGAATACAAAGAAGTAGAGAGACGGAGGCTGCAGGAAAAATTAGATAGTTTTAAAGTAAAACACCAGAGTATAGAAAATATTACTTCAGAACGAAGGAGACAAATCGATCATCTTAAAAACAGTGCCTCTGAAAAGGTTTGTGCAATACGTAATAACACGGCAGAAAAAAAGCAGAGTATAGAGGAACTTTCAGAAAAGTTGCAAGAATTGTCTGAACGACGACAGGTATGTATGGGTTTAAAGACAGCTCATGTCGATTACAAATTATGGTGAATTATGCTTAAAATTACAAGCAAGTCTTATTCATTTAAAAAAAAATCAAATTCGAGGCTTATTAATTATATTTACTTTTTCTTGTTGCAGAGCTTTACAGGTCGTATTAGAATAAAAGAAACAACAACAGTTCAGACATTAGAACAACAAATTGTAATATTAGAAAACAGAGTAAGTAATGTAATAGCTGATACCTTAATATAATATTGTAGCGTAGGTACTGTTCATTGTTTCGCATTTTATAAAAAGCAATATATAGAAACATTTTATTTTAATTTACATCTTGGGTTACTTGGGTACTTAATAAATCTACACAAACTCACACTTTTTTAAAAACTTAAGTGTTGTTGGAGCCGATTATACCTAGACATGTACAATATACAGTGTAAATATGAACTTGTTACGGCTATATATATCAGTCGTTAATTATACTTGGGTCACAACAAAATTATATGTTAACCCTAAACCACAATAAATTTTAACAAACAAATTCAAAATACGTCGAAGTAGGCACTAATTTCAGTTTAATGATGATCTGCATGTTTAGACTCTTCATTTAGTTTGGTAATAAGAATTAGCCACGTCCTTGATCAAATTCATGAAAACATTTAAAATCTAGCTTTTTTGGAAAAATATAAACATGTGCCGTTTCTACAAAAAAACAGTTAAGAGAGTGTTTTTGATATTTTTAAGTAAGTTTGTTTATTCTATTTTAGAATCATAATCTTGTTTATAAGCACTCAAATGCGGGCATAAATTGGCCTTTATGGCACAAATCAGTCCAAAATTGCTAAGCAACGATTGATTATTCATTTACATATTAGGCATTAATGTTAATGTTAATATCATTATTATTATTAATGTGGGAGTATCTTTTTCAAAACTCTCTTAATCAGGCGTAAACCTATAGGTATTGGTAATAATTATATCCCGAGTATATTCCCATTTTGTGTCGAATACTTTGGATTGTAATTATACCTATTTTTGTCGTATTATAGAGTTATCAGTCCCGAGAAAGTTTTCAAACGTTAAAATTTACAACGTGTATCTAGTTAATGGTGTGGTACATTTTATTAACAACTATGCTTTTATTTTCAGATGAGCCAGTTGAAGTCTGAGACCGTAAAACTATGTTCAACAAATCGTCAGAATGAAATAATGTCTGATAATATGTAATAAGAACATTGTTCATTGTTCCATACCAGTATAAGTAAAATGTTTTTTAAGTCGAATATGTTGTTTTTTGTACGTCGTTATATAAAGTACACGTAAAATACTGCATTTTTTACTTAAAAATATTAAATAGGTGGGATTTTTATTATGGCCCATTTCAAAACTTCTTTTAATAGTACAAGCTTTCTAAGTTTTCGGTCGTTCTAGGTGGCACACAACTAAATAAGAAAATATAAACCAAAGTCGTGAAATAATTTCTCACCAAATAAGTATCACGCTAACCAAATCGGTATGCTTGTGTGAGAACTGAGAAGTGGTGTTCCAATGTTCTTTCACAATATAGGGTGCATTTTATTGAGGAACAAGAACAAGTAATGTTCTATGCAACAACAAATGATAGTCTGGGTCTACAAATTTAATGATGCCATCCAAACATTTTTCTATGTAAATCTATTAAATATTAGTATTATGCACGTAGTTTTTGGAAAAAGATAAAAATTGTAAAATACAAATTTACAGTCTAAATCAGAAACACAAAATCGATTGATCTAACTGAAAATTTGCATAAGCGTGAAGTGTGAAGTAAATCTTGCTTAAACCAGAGATAACAGAGATATGACAGCTTTTGAATGCTCCATAAGAAATGCATGGGAGCGAAGTGAACACAGAATTTGACGTAAAGGACGGTTGGGGGCACAACATTTGTGGTGGTAAACCTGATATCTTAATATCTATGTTAAATGTTACTAAATATATTACTAGTAAAAGTGACATAACGAACGAAAAACACGAACTCTGAGATAACCTCAATTAAATATGATGCGATGGTTTCAAATTATAAAAGAAAAGTCATGTTAACTGCATATGTATGTATGTATTTATTACAGTTACATACATTTGGTAAAATTTTACAAAGAGCACTTCTCGATTTCGTACAAACTGTTTGCACAGAACTCTTCTACAGGACCCCCTGATCACGTTCCTCACCTTCAAATGTTGTGGAAATGCTTACTTTTGCCACAAAAAAATTGTTAAATTTCCCATTTGCACACTCTTCAATGGCAAGTCGTTTCGAACATAACCTAACTTTTTATAGTCAACAACACGGGTAGGTGTAATATCGGGTTTGTAGTGGAGGCAGGGCGCTTCGCGCCCTGCACCCCATTACAAACATACCCCTAAACGTGGCACTTCTTGCTCCGTGGATCATTTAGTTTTTGGAATTCGTGCGAGTTCAACTGTGTGTGTAGTTGGTTGCCTACATGCGGCGCAACTAATAGTGTGCAAACCATAGGGCGAACACTAAATTTTTTTTTCTGACACTAGGAAGCATTTCCACAACTTTTGAAGGTAAGGAACGTAATCAGGGGGTCCTGTAGAAGACTTCTGTGCAAACAGTTTGTGCGAAATCGAGAAGTGCTCTTTGTAAAATTTGACCATACATTTTAACAAACAATATACTATTGGTAAGTACAGGAATAGTTCTATAAAAATAACATCGATAAGTAAACCGATGATTTTCTGCAGCTATAATTAATTATTAATCGATGAAACTGGCAAATGCTCTATAAATGGGACAAAATGATTAATTTACTCTGTTTTTTAGGTTGCTTCTGTAGTTCCCTATTATGGAATTTCAATGTATAAAATATACGTAATCGCACAAATAATGACAAAAGGTAATCAAGGGGGAGATTACTACATGGATGCTATTAAGGCCAGCTGGTTTTTAAGTTGTCTGGGAACTTGAAGCGAAAGTGTATTATCTACTGAAGGCATTTTCTAATTGTTCAATGTAATATGCAAACTGTTCATACGAAACATTAAGATTGCCATAAGATAAAGTTTCAGAATTGTGGGCTTGGAAACGACAATAATGTAGTTCTAGAATTTCTGCCACATGCATTTGTATATTCACAGCATATCTGAGAAGAGTGTTTTAAGCATGCATCCACTGAGTATCCACATATTTATCGTAAGATATTTTGTTCAGCTAAATCAAACTCTTTGTACTCTATCCTATCTATTTTTAGGGCATTATGAGATGGTTGGGAATTATTAATTATGGTGGTGATGTTGTACCTCTCACTTAAATTGGAGATATCTTCATTAGCAGATAAGAATTGTGGTGTGATCAGATGATTAAAAGAGGACTTGCGTTTGTGGTGTATTTATTTTTAATGTTGTCGGTTCAGTAGATAAGGGAAAAGTGAAGAGTGTTGTCTGTGATTTTGAAAATGAAAAGACAGGTCGGTAGAGAGCGGTGAAACGGTTGTGTCGAAAGGGTTCTTAGAAGGTACTCGAAATCTTCGAAGGATAAGAATTATTGGGAAGGGCGAACAAAAGATAGGTTTTACGACATGCAGGTGTACGAAGAGAAAGTTTCAGGATGATAGTGGTTGGAAGTCAATAAATACAGACTATACAAATATTACATGTTGCACAATTTTGTGGGATTTGTTAGCCCCCACAAAATGTTGCTAAATCAAAAGCACAATTACCAGTTGGATTGTGCTGCATATATTTTATACAGAACAATAGCTTGTATTTGGTTATATTCTAATAAAGTGTGATGTAAATAACTATTAATAATATGAGGATAAAAATAATTTTATTAACACCCGCACAGAACTAAAAGTGACTAAAGTCATCTTCGCAATGAAAAGGTAACATTCAATATTATAACTGTATTTGTACCCCTTAAAGTGTCGTCCTTGAATTTCAACGTTAGGTTGTAATAACAATCTTTGAATGAGCTAGAGGGTACTTTTATTATTATCCTCGCTATAAAATTGTACAGTTTGTGTTGTGTATGCACATTTTAGAGTTTTAAAGGATAAGAAAAGTTAATACAAGCATTTTGAGTAATTTAATGTTTTTTTTATCCATTTACTATTAATCAGGATGTAAACATTACAAAAGCACCAACAAATGTTAGATATAATACAATCATTTTTCGAATAAACTTAATGATTGTAATTTTTTTAATCTTGTCTTTTTCCATTTATGAGCAACCTAGTATTTTTGGAAGAAAGATTAACCACTTTTGGTATATTCTTACGATTGGAAATATCCCTGGTAATCAAATAGCCGCGCTACGAAAGTTTCACTCAAATTTAAATAGCGCGCCCGAAAGTGACGGTTTGGGGCACAGTACATAAGGACTATTGTCGCTTAATTTTGCGAGCTGTCATATCTCTATTATCTCTGCTTAAACTGTAAATGTGTTCCTTTATTTGTGTTTTAATGAAATATCCCCACTTTTGTTAAAATGTTTTATGTCTGAAAAAATGACATATCGGGGGAGAGTTCTGTTTAAACAACTTTAGACAACTTTTTTCAACTCAAATCACATTCGAATGTTTAACAAACAGCTCATCAGTGCTTTTTTTTAACGCTGGCCGTAGGGATTTACGTGCTAAGTATAAATACAGTGATAAAGTGACATTTATGACAGCTGACATCGTTTCAACACTGTGGTTTCAACCAATCAACACGTTTGTTAAGCGTGTACATGTCAAAATTGACAACAACTGTGAACTGACATATTAGGATGAATCAGAGTAACTCAGAATTACCAACACAAAAATTTGCTTCAATCATTAAAAGTCACTGGTAGTTTAGATGGTGTTATTGAATTTTCTAGCAAGTACAGTCTTTTCCAAAAAAATTCGGGCAAGAACAGCAAGTCAGGTTCTCATAGATCAATGAAAAGCAATAGGAATATGACTTTGATGTCAATGTCGTTCGCCCGAATTTTTTTAGAAACGACGGTATTTTCAAGTGAAATTCAACATATTGCCGTGATAGGGGCACACAACTCTGCTATTTTCTCTTAATCTAGTTTAATGTTCTAAGTACATTATCGTTACCTATTGATGTTAAATCATGACGAATATTTGTTAAGAATTTTTCGCTTATTGTTTCCCTCATATTTCAATAATACTTATTCTTATTCTATATTCTTGGTTACGAATAACTTACTCTAATCTCGTTAAGTCTCTTTCAACTTACTTTACTTTCGTATTAATAGACAACCTATGGAATAAAATCACGTCTCATTTTACCGTTCTCAGTTCCCAAAGCGACCCTTTACAGGTCCCCTAAGGAGTAATTTTTGCAACGGTCACCGGATGAAACTCGGACATTAAGGTCTCCCAAAACTCGGACACTAATATGTGTTTAATAAGCAAAATTAGAAAAGAGCCAACAGGGCCGTCCTATACGTATATCAATTTGGATACTTATATAATACGCCTAGGTAGCTGTTTTCGAAACCTTTGTCAAATTGTTGACCGTTTCCCCACTTAGTACACTATGTCTGATGAATTCAAGCCGTTGATTTAAAATCTTCAATGACTCCTTTATTTTAAATAAATACAAAGAAGTAGAAACTTCACTCATCCGAAAAACTAACAAACCAAATATATGGATTTCATTTTTTCATCCAATCATGTTTACTTGTAGAATACGTCCACTACTAAGCAGTGACGCTCAACTCCAATATAAAATAATTATTGAAATTTATTCCACTATATTTGATCTTCTGTTACCCACTAATATATGTGGAAGTGATTATACGTACTACATACAATCCTGCCATTATTACGAAACAGTCTGTTTTTGTTACTGAATATTACTGACAAAATAAAAACGCTTACATTAAATACACTTTAGATAGGTAGCCTTAACTGGCAAAAACAAACAAAAAAATGTAGTAAAATTAATTTATTGTCATAAATATTTACATGGTACATAACAACTAATACATACCTACATTTTACACAAAGATGTATTCTATTTTTTGGAATATATCATAATGAATACAATTTTACCTCAAAAGAAATTATTTTTTTATGATATTCAGCTAGTGGTAGTACTCGCAAGACTGTATAAAAATCTCTACTATTTTTCACCTTAAATTTTTTAATAATGTATTCGCGGGCACGATTTCTTGCAAGTTCAAGCAGAGTTGGCACCGGAAATTCTTGCACTAGTCTATATTTTGGTAAAATAAAATACTGCGAAATTTTATATGCAGTTGGTTCATCATAAGTTCCAGAAATAACAGACTCAATAGATAAATTTACATCATAGAGTAATCGGGGGAACACAACGTTCTTGCCTGTACATCTCTCCATCTGTTTAATGTCCATATGAAGCATTATTTTGAATAAATCACAATAACCAAATGTAACGTAAAGTGCATTTAAAGCATCAGCAGTAATATCTACTCCATAACTCGCCATACAACATAAAATCTGACAGAGAAGATCTACTAGTTCTCTGGATTCAGCAAAACATTGAATTAATATTGTAAGTAGTGCTAAATTACTGGCATTAATTTTATCGACAAAAGTATCTGAAACACTGCTCTCCAACAGCATAAACAAATTCTGAGCGTAATTATGCAAATAGTATGGACCTAGACACCAAAATAAGTCTTCTAGGCAACATCTACATAACATTTCTTCTAAAATATAACCAAATTCTTGGGTAAATATCATCAACATTTTCGGATTTAATTCACTAAATGATAAAGCTAATTCTTTCAATTCACCATATGTGAAATTTATATCACAGGTAATCTCCAATAATCTATAAAACATTGGCGATTCTCTTTGCATTACTTCAATAAAAGTATAAAGACTAAAATTCTTTTTATAACAATAAAACTGATCCGGAAAAACTTCCAGTGTTCGATGCAAGGTGCGCAGTTGTTCAACTAAATCAAAAAATGTGAAATACACACATACACATCCATTTTCAGTTTCATAATAATCCATATGTGTAGTATTTGGGTCAGCTCCAAAAAACAGCAGCATCCAAACAATGTCGATGTAACCTTTCTTAACAGCTATGTGTAAAGCGGTTAGTCCATCTTCATTTTGATACTCTATATTAATACCTCTTTCAATTAACAATTCAGCTACCTCTATCCAATTATTATACACAGCCAATTGCAAAACATTATTACCATCAGGATAAATATGATCAACATTGCAGCCTGATTCTATCAAACGAATGGCATAAATTTCTCCATCATTAGTTCCAAAAGCCTCCATTAATGGAGTTCTTGCAAAAGAATTGAACTCATCTTTAGTAATATCATCCAAAGTGAGCAAGTATTCAAAAGTGTCCAATCTGGAAGGCCGACCTAACTAAAATATTTTACAATTGTGTATAAAACATACGTTGCTTCCTTGGCATGATTTTGAATGGCCAAATGAAAAACTGTGTTACCAGCTTGATCACACGTATTGAAATTTGTTCCACATTTTTGTAGTAATTTGAGGCGAGGTACATCATTGTGTTGTATAGCTTGAATTACTTCTAAGGAAAGGTATTCTGGACCCTGAAAATTATCACTGTGTATGTGAGACGTAACACAAAAATACGAACCATGGATATTGAGGAAGCTTTGTCAGTCATAACACACTTTTTGAACTATTCTTTATAATTGAGGTACTTCGTAAATGTTAATATTAATCCTTCAATATATTAACATTAATAAAATTAATACAACTTAGACACTACATTTACAATTGACCTGAAGTACATAACCTAAAAAATATAAACAAACACAAAAATCCGTGGAATGTCACCGGAATTCCAATACCTTAAACTCTTAAACCAGGGACACTCAACCATGATCTAGGATAGTGTGACTGTATACTGTAAAATCTACCTTAGAAGTATCTAGAACCCTCACATTAGAATCAAGAACCAATATACATAATAACTCCACAACCTATAACATTAAAGTTAAAATGGGTTATAATTAAATTATTTTTGGCTTTTTTATTTAAAATTTAATGCCCAAAGGGCCGATTATAGGGCAAATGCCTTTTCATGTTGGTTGTAGAGGCAAGTGCATGAAAGTTGTATAAATGTGTATCTGAGAAAATCTTTTTATTTGAGCCCTACTTATTGTTTTACCCTATTTCCGATTTTTGATCATGAATGCATTTTTTGCATTTTTCGACCTATTTTACTTTTTTTCTGCCCATTTAATTTTTTCTGCATATTTTGTTCTAAAATCTGAATTTTTTATAACCCTATCAGCACATGTTTCTTACGAAGCAGGTCACATTTAATAGTTCCGGTATCTAGGTACGATAAAAAAATTAGTCGAAAGTTATTTCGACAGAACTTTCCTCGCTTCTGGTTTCACTTTCTTTAATAAATTGACTGATTCATTAATTTTTTTTGGTCACCTGTATAAGCAAATCTAAAAAATATTACTGCAATCATAAGTTACAAGTATAGTCTGATCATATTTTGCACATTTGCGAAAGAATTTATTCGGCAAAATTTTGAGATGCCGTAATCAATTTTTTGGGGTTGATAAACAGATACATTTTCATTAAAAAAGTTACGAATGCTTATAATAACTCCAAAACATTAAGATTTCATAGTATTCAGTTTTGCAATTCTTGATTTAATCAATAAAATAAACTGACTCAATCATTAATTTTTTTCACACACCCCCTATAAGTAAATCTAAAAAATATTTGTGCAGTGATAAGTCACAAGTATAGACTCGTCATACTTTGCACAATGCACATTTAAGATAGCATTTTTTCGGAAAATTTTTGGAGTTGCGTCATCAGTTTTTTAGAGGGATGAGCAAATACAGTTTGATTAAAAATTTACCATGCTTATGATGACTTTAAAACATCTCCAAGATTTCAAAACATTCGGTTTTGTAGTTTCTGATAAACGCATTCATTAATTTGTTTGTCACGCTGTATATGCAGATCCAAAAAATATTAATAGAATGATAAATTTCAAGCACAGACTCATCATATTTTGTACATTTTAGATAGGATTTATTCGGCAAATTTTTGAGCTGACGCCATCAATTTTTTGAAGGGGATAAATAAACATATTTTGATTAAAAATTTATCATGCTTATAATAACTGTAAACCATCTGCAAGATTTCACAGCATTCGGTTTTGCAGATTCCAGATTAAATTCCAAAATGTTGTTTTATATTTTTGATTTTTTTTGAAAAAATCTGGACGTTTCGGATAAAAACTCAATTCGGGGTCATAAACTACATGTGTAGTAGTAGGACTATGTTATTTTATACAATTTAAAGCCCATTTACTATGTACAATTTTGAAGTGACGTTATCACATTATTGATGGGGATGATTAGACAAATTTTGGTTAGTGTTTTACCATCTACATACATGATATTCCTAATATAAACACAAAATTTAACAACAATCGGTCCAGTACTTTCGGAGATTATCTGTCTAATAAAAATCCGGGACGGTAGACAGAGGGACTGACGGACAGACGGACAGACAGATGGAAATGTGGGACCTATTTCTTGGTCCTCTAGGGGTCACGGAAGGTTGAGAAAACGTAAAAGTGGAAAGTCGGCCGACGGACTCGATTACAATACTTCCTTTGCTTACGCTCGGGAAGTAAAAAGATAACAATCCAACCCGCGTTTTAGGTAAAAGGGTCCTGGGAATTTTGTTAGCAATATGCCGACAATTTAATAACCCAAATCTCTTTTTCTGCGAAACCATCAATGAACAAATTTTATTGCACAGCTAAATACGTAGTCTACGTTTTAAGATAATTAAAACACCTATTTACAGCTATATAGCTTTGATCATGTGTTAAAAACACCACCCCCTCCTACAACTTTCTTTTCGAGTTTTCTTTCTGTATCAATTAGTTCGTGTTGGGTTTTCGTCAAATGATTTTCAAAAGTGTAAAAGTGTTTTAATACTGTTCATCATCTAGTATTTTGTACCATTTTTAAAAATGTCCAAAGTCAAATCGTCTTTAAAGGATAATTTGAGGGAATGGACGAAAAACAAAGACGTTTTTCAAATAGAAAGCGGCGAATTGTTCTGTAAAGCCTGTGAGAAAATTATGAGTATAAATTATTATTAATGTTGCAGAATTTAAATGGGAAAATTAGTTGTAAAATTAATTCCATAAATTCGCATGATGTAACAATTTTTGAAATATAAATAAAATGTATTGTTGTAGATTCCATGTCAAAAGAAATGCTTTGTTCTTCAACATGAAAACGCACAAAACAAATCTTACTAAAGATACCAGACAAACTTTATTTTCCTAATTCAATAGTGAAGACCATAAGAAAAATTTTTACTGTGAATTACGCGTTGCATTTGTTGCGGCAAATACACGGTTGAAAAAACTTAAGATCGGGAACATCCAAATGTTTGCTATTTTATTATTTAGTCATTTTACATTGTACTTTTGTAGGTGATTAACAGAGTTAGAATAGATATTGAAGTTCCCGATATTTGGATAGCAGTAGATGAAACTACAAATTCTAATGAGCAATCCGTTGTAAACATTGTAACGGGAAAATTATCTGGAGAGGCACCTGGTACACCACATTTACAGGCATCGAAAATATTGGAAAAAAACAATAATCTAATAGTGGCACGTTTTATCAATGAGTCGTTTGGTAATTCTATTAATTATTAAAAAAAAATCCATTTTTCTCGGATGAATACATAGTGTTCAAATTGCATCTTCGTAACGTCAATCAGTTTGGTTATATTTATTAATGCACAGTTGCAAAGGTGCATTAACATTGCTATACAATTAGAACAAATTGCAACTTTGCTATGTAGTAAGGTAAGTAATCTGATGTAAGCCGAACTTAGATTTGGTCTTGAAGCATAAATGATTTGTGAATTAACACCTGCCATATTCATCATTGCATAAAATATAACCATCGGGCACCGTTTGGTGTTTCGAGAAACATCGTATGTAGCATTGAGTTTGTCCAAATTGTCAACAACTCCATTAGTATGGTTATAATATGTGATGATCTCGGGCTTATTTTTCTCTTCTGTGGCCGGATCAATAGCATCATCATGGTGGAGGCTTGAAATGAGAATCACATTTAGGTACTTCTTTGGTACATAGGACAAAACAGTAATTTTCTCTTGGAATCCAAATACTGAGGAGCATACGGGTCGATTTCTTGTAACGGAAAATTCAAGGGGTAGTTCTCACTTATTTTTTTTATAGTTCCTACGTACGTTATTTTATGATCTTGCAGCAATTTATTGACTAGATCGATACTTGTATCAATTGTCACAAGTAAGATTCCTGTTTGTTCCTGATATGGGTTCTATAAGCCTTAGAACTATGTTGTATGGATTATTTGGTTTTTCATATGTCCCGGGAGGCTGTTGTCCAACGTAAACTTCAAGATTTAGAGCATAAGACGTGGCAGAATCAACCAAAGCAAATGTTTTAATACCATATCTGTTTGGTTTGGGTGGTATGTACTGTTTGAACCCGCAACGACCACGAAAACCTTCAAGTTTTTCATCTATTGTACTATTTGCCCCAACAGTGTACGCATTCTTACAGTTCTGAACAAAGGAATCGAAAATATTTCTTATAGGAGCTAATTTGTCAACAGCCTTCCGCTGTGTCGAGATCGTCAAACCGAAGACATCTTAGTAAAAATTGAAAACGATTACGGGACTAACTAGCCAAAATCTTTCAACACCAAGTCTAGTTCTAACCCACAAGTCTTTTGTATTAAGCCGATTACTTTTCAAAGTACCAGCTAAATATAAAAGACCAAGAAGAGCTTTAATTTCGGAAATAGTAGTAGGCCTAGCTCTTCTTTCCCTAGCGTATTCTAATTTAGAGTTGTAAAGATTAGTATTTTCCACGATTACACCCAACATCTCATCAGTAAAGAAGACAGACCAACATTCCATAGGCGACATTATATTTTTGGCATAAGGTCTCACTCCTGGCAGACGAACAATGATATTTTCACGTCTGGTTCTTACTGCCCTATTGGGACAGTGTTTCTTCCAACGGATAGTGCTATTCTTTGTTATAAACGTTGCTACAGAATACAATATGATCGTAAGGAGAAGTGAAGTGTATAACGTTCGTCAGAGAACCAGTAAGATAAGCTAATGGCGGTAGGCAATATACGTACAAAGTGGGTAATGTAGTTTAAATACCTAGGAGTAGAAATATTAAGCCACCACGACCCAGTAAAAGAAATAAAATCACAAAGAAACAAAGTTGCTGCTATATGGAATAACAAATGATAGATAGCAAGGGTAGAATATATAAAAGACCTATGCAAGACAGATAATGATCTATGGTACATACAGACTTAAAATGCGGACATAACTAAAACAAAAGTGTGCTAAAAACTGGAAAATTTCTAAGAGACAGAATAGGAGACGAGAAGATTAGAAAGCAATGTGGAGTAGAGAACATGTCGGATGGGACCAACATGTAAAAAGGATGCAAGAAAACCAATTTGCATGAATTGTCTTGCACTGGAAAAACCACCACCTAAACGGTGGCGATCTAAGAAAATAATTCCCGGGATTAAAAACAGATCCTCGTATTTCTTCAAAGACTGAAGAATATTAAAATTTTAAGCACTGGGATGGAATCAAATGTTTTGTAAACCTTTGGATTCTGTTGGATCTGATCTCTATGGCATCCATGTTATAGAAAAATGTTAATAAACATTTGATTTTGAAATTCGACTCAAATACTGTAATGCATATTTTTAAAGTTTAGTTTTTTAGTGTAATTTTGTAATATTCTTAATTGTAGCTGCTTAAATTTAGTCTCTTTATGATTGTATTTCTCAAAGCAAGTAAAACAAATTATTTTCAGTTGCGTGTACAACTGAATTTATACTCGTAATGTGTTTAATAGCCCCCTTCATGGTCATGGTTTATTTTGTAACAACATAGAAAACAGTATTGATGTTTTCAAGCATTGATCACTATTTTTTAAATGTGAATGAACGACTTTAGAATAAGTCCTAGATATAATACTTAGCACCCATTTAATTTTTTGACCTTAGACAGTCACGCGGAGAAGATAAGATTATTTTGTAGTTACTAGATACGAAAAGATATGTCACGACTTAGATTTGTTGTGGTCGACAACCAGTGCGTTTCACCATGGCAAAATTAAGCGTAGATTTACCAGATATTGAAGTAAGTACACATTTTTTTTATAATTAGTCTTTAACTACTATTTCCTACAACGTGCACTTGTTAAAATGAATTATTTATTTATTTTTAAAGAATATTCTTGCTTTAAATCCACGAGTGCGTTCCCACTCTACTTTATTACCATCTGTTGTGACGAAAACAAATAAGAAACACTGGAAGCGAAACGCTGATAGGAAATGCCAGGTACCTATTTTAAATAATGTTTGTTTTAGTGATTAGTAATAAAAATAATGTTTAGAGTTGTTATGACCTTGAAAACGACTTTTCTGATATTAAACCCACCACGCTAAGTGAAAGAGGTGCATTAAGAGAGGCTGCAAGATGTCTAAAATGCGCCGATGCGCCGTGTCAGAAATCTTGTCCAACTCAGCTAGATATTAAGGCATTTATTACGAGTATTTCCAACAAAGTAAGTATAAAATACACGAACCTGTCATTATTTTAATGAGAGTATTATGTTAGAATTATTATGGCGCCGCTAAAGCCATTTTCTCGGACAATCCTTTGGGAATTACTTGTGGCATGGTATGTCCTACTAGCGATCTCTGCGCTGGAGGCTGTAACTTACACGCTTCCGAAGAAGGCCCAATTAATATTGGAGGGTTGCAACAATTTGCGACTGAAGTTTTTAGTAAAATGGGTGTTAAGCAAATTAGGGATCCTAAAACCCCTACCCCTAAAAATTTTTCCCAAAAAATTGTTTTGGTTGGAGCTGGACCTGCGTCACTGTCTTGTGCTACATTTTTAGGACGGTTGGGATATACAGATTTAACCATATACGAAAAAGAGGATTTTGTGGGAGGCCTGAGGTACGTACAATTTGTACGAAAAAACACTGATAAACAAAATTCTCTCTCAAATGTATATACAATTTTTAATAGAATGGAGAACGAAGTGAGGAACCATACACTTCTCATAAGTGTTTTATTTTGTTATTTTCAACGGACTTGCAAACCTAGTTCAAATATCGATAAAGATTTATTATCGGATTAAACAAAAAAACAATTTTGTAATAGTTAGATAATTGTGTAGAAAAATATTCCACTTTAAACGTCATACTTGATCGATTGTCTGTATTTTCATAGCTGATTACACATTACTTTGCTTGTCTTCTATTTTAGTTTGTTATTTTAATTTTCTTTTACCAAAAATAGGGATAAGTTGTTTATGTTAACGGTTTCCTTGATTCAAAACCATGTTATTGAAAATGAGAGCATCAATTACGATAAATTCTAGCTCTGTTTTTATCCTTATTTTTATTATTTCGAGGCTATATGTTTAGGGCGTCAAATGGTATTTTTTGCTGCGATATTTCAAATAACTAAGAAGTTCTTTATATTTATCCCTGGCGTTAAGAAAAAAATGTAGTGGGCAAGTGTAAGCTAATATTTAAACTAATGGTTGCAGAACATTTTTCGAATACTTTTCTCCTCCTGTAAACTGCAGCATTGTCTTTCAACTTACGCTACAAACTTTTTCCGTGTAAAAAAATAAGTATTATAGTCGTTGTAAAATCTATTGCTTTTGTAACTATTAAAAATAAATGTTTATCGTTTATAGAGGAGTGATTATGAGAATTGGGAGCTATGCTATACAGTCCAAAATCAAACAAATTACAAGCTAATAAATTTTTAACAAATACATTTTTTTTTAGTTCTTCTGAGATACCGCAGTACCGTTTACCAATATCTGTGGTAGATTTTGAAGTTCAGTTAGTTAAAGACTTGGGAGTTAAAATAGAGACCGGCAAAGCTCTGTCCAAACATGATTTAACAGTGGAAAAACTTTTACAAGATGCTAAAGCAGTTTTTATTGGAATTGGGCTGCCTCAACCTAAACTCAATCCTTTATTCAAAGGTCTAACACCTGAAATGGGTTTTTATACATCAAAAAATTTCTTACCAAAAGTAGCAAAGGCTAGTAAACCAGGTTTATGTTCTTGCAAGTCCATTTTACCCAGCATGAAAGGAACGGCGATTGTTCTTGGTGCAGGAGATACTGCTTTTGATTGTGCTACCTCAGCTTTGAGATGTGGTGCAAGAAAAGTATTTGTTGTGTTTAGAAGAGGTTTTACTAATATTAGAGCAGTTCCCGAAGAGGTAAAAATTTTTTTCTCTATAAAACGAAACTTAAGAAGTTAAAATTAACGTTTTTAGGTTAATTTGGCCGTTGAAGAAAAATGCGAGCTAGTTGGATTCTTATCACCACACAAAGTAAATATCAAAGATGGAAAAATTGTTTCGGTTACTTTCAGTAGAACGGAAGAAAATGAAGAAGGAAAGTGGGTCCAAGATGTTGAACAATTAACCACAATTAAAGCGAACTACCTTATATCAGCTTTTGGCTCTGGACTGGAAGATCCTGATGGTGGACAATTTTCACTGAATCTGTTTAAACACGTTATTACACACCATTTTTAGTTATCGAAGCACTGAAGCCTCTTAGTTTGAACGAAAATAAATTACCAAGTGTTGATCTCAATACAATGCAGTCCTCTCATTCAGCTGTATGGATTGGTGGAGATCTTGCAGGTGTAGCAGAAACAACAGTCGAAGCTGTTAATGATGGAAAAACTGCTGCGTGGTATATTCACTGTTTTTTGGAAGTATGACATAATTGTAGTTGTTATTTGCATATAAATATATAAATTTTAGGGTTTACCTAATACAACAAAACCAAGTTTGCCACTTTTCTATACAGAAATCGACGATGTTGATCTGTCTGTTGAAGTATGTGGTATGAAATTTGAAAATCCTTTCGGTTTAGCATCCGCACCTCCAGCAACCAGCACTGCTATGATTAGAAGGGCGTTCGAACAAGGATGGGGATTTGCACTTACTAAGACGTTTTCGCTTGATAAGGTATTCTTGTTGCTTTTAGAATGATGTTGTAATGCAAAATCATTAACTTTTAGGATTTAGTAACAAACGTTTCTCCTAGAATTGTTAGAGGTACAACTTCTGGACACAATTATGGTCCTCAACAGAGTTCTTTTCTTAACATAGAACTAATTTCTGAAAAATGTGCAGCCTACTGGTTACAAGGTGTTAAAGAATTAAAAGCCGATTTTCCCACGAAGGTATGTCTGCCAAAGATTAAAATAATCACAACTTTACTAACGTTCTTTAGGTCATTATTGCTAGTATTATGTGCTCGTACGATGAAGAGGACTGGAAAGAACTCTCAAAAATGGCCGAAGATGCAGGAGCTGACGCTCTAGAACTGAATTTAAGTTGTCCACACGGAATGGGTGAATCTGGAATGGGATTAGCTTGCGGCCAAGTAACTCTTTAAATTTGTCTATAAAATAGTGATTACGCTTCTCAATTTTTAGAAACCAGAACTGGTAAAAGGCATTTCTGAATGGGTGAAAGCCACAGTAAAAATTCCTTTCTTTATAAAATTAACCCCAAACATAACCGACATCGTTGAAATAGCGCAAGCCGCTTACGATGGTGGGGCATCGGGAGTAGCTGCTATCAATACAGTTTCAGGATTAATGGGTTTAAGCTCTAACGGCACGCCGTGGCCAGCAGTTGGTTTAGATAAACGTACCACTTATGGAGGTGTTAGCGGGAATGCGACGAGACCCATCGGATTAAGAGCGGTTTCTGCGGTTGCCAACGCTTTACCAGGTTTCCCGATTTTAGGCACTGGCGGTATTGATTCAGCCGATGTTACGTACCAATACTTGCAAGCTGGGGCGGCTGTCGTGCAAATTTGTAGCGCCATACAAAACCAAGATTTCACGTTAATTGATGATTATATCACGGGATTAAAAGCACTCCTGTATTTGGATGGCCGAATGCCAATGTGGGACGGGCAAAGTCCGCCAACGTTTAAACATCAAAAAGGGAAACCCGTCGTCCCAATACGTGTAGCTGACAATAAAGTAAAAGTTGTAATAGTGAAACATTAACATATAAAAAATATTTTTTTAGGCTTTACCACATTTTGGTCCATTTATTGCACAAAGAAAGGAGAAGGCCAAGAGTTTGAAAGCTGATGTACGTTTACATCACGATGGACGTGCGAATGGTTATTCGGTGACGGAAGAAAACGGCCAGAGCAATATACCAAAAGTTGCTGATATTATAGGAAGAGCTTTGCCTCAAATAGGGGCATATAAAAAATTAGACAACACAAAACAAGTGGTAGCCTTGATTGATGATGTATGTAAATTGTTCTTTGCAAGTTAAGATATATGTAAGATGATTTGTTCTAGGATATGTGTATTAATTGTGGAAAATGTTATTTGACTTGCAACGATTCTGGCTATCAAGCGATTTCTTTTGATCCAAGTACTCATATACCGCACGTAACTGATGATTGTACAGGGTGTACACTGTGTTTGTCAGTTTGTCCTATTATCGACTGCATAACGTGAGTCTCCAAAATAGTTAGACATAGTTTTTAATTTTTTTTTTTTAGTATGGTGCCGAAAACCATCCCACATGTGATTAAAAGAGGCCAGGCTGTTAAACTAGTACATGCTTTGGATCCTGCCGCTGTTTAAATAAAATGATTTTAATTGCATAGAGTCCAATATAGACCAAAATTAGAAAGCAATGTTTTAATATATCGATTGTAAAATTATTATTAAATGTTATCTCTTTAAAATAAGATTACATTATTAACCCCGCATATTGATCAATTATTGCAGTGGCAAATATGGAGGGAAGCTCGATCTGGTAGATCTGTTGTGGATCCTGATTCTGTTTTGTCGTCCACACTTACGGTAACGTCCGTTTCCCCAGCTGAGCTAACGGTGTCAATATTGGAAAAGGAAACTTTGATACTTCTTGATGATCTGTTTTGCCCTAAGGCGTTTGCTGCATAGCATACTTCGTCACCGCAGTAATTGTTGAACGCTGGGCATGAGTAAGATTCACAAAAATCGTCTTCGGATTCATGTTTTCTTCTTCCGCGAATAAAATGACAACACCAGTTTAGGAGACACACTGCTATAAGCATCTTGGCTGCGATAGCTATCGCTAAAATCTGAAAAATACAATTTAGTGACTTTTTGTCATTTTGAACCAATATTTTCTAACTTAAGATTTAGAGTGTTTAAGTTGAAGCAGTAATCATAGCTAAAAGCGGGGGCGGCTGGTGGTGGAGGGCACAAGGTCACGCACTCTCTCAACGTCTATAACGTCTACACTGGACATAGCAAAATAGTAATTTTGAATATTTCAAAAATTATCCGGAAGTGTGTTTATAATTATCAAAACTAATTTTTTTATGTTGCTCCATTTATATCAGATGTATCAAAACTTACATCTAAGGTAAGGTCTCGATAAAAGCGGAGACAAATCATTCATGATTCATTTAGACGTTGTGTTGCCATGGAAACCGCGCCTCTAGTCGTTGTATTTGGCTGGAATCAGGTCATATTTGAAACAGTGACCGCGAGTGAAATTATTTGATTTTAGATAAAAATAATGAATTCATTTGAATATTTAATAAAAAATTGTCCTCTGTCTTTACGACGATAAAATTGTAGTGAAAAATTTAGGGAGAGGCACCTCCGATTTATTAATAAAAAAAGTGTTCATGGCAAAACGTGAGACTTTCATAAATATTTTAATAATCACAACATGTGTAATAAATTTTTGTGGGTGTGTGGTTGTGAAAAAATAATAAATTGTTTTGTTTTGTGTGTCTCCTCAGTAAGGAGTTAAAACCAAAGGTATGTGGATAAACATTTTTTTTACTTTTATTGAATGTATGTCTGTATTTATTTATTTACCTCACACAATTTTGTCTATTAACTGGTAACAACAGCCTGCTTTATATCTTAATATTTAACTCATCAATCAAATTGTGTTCCCCCGTTTCAAAATATCACGAGCTGTCACTGGCTAGCAACAAACAAAAATTAAAAGAAGCAATGAAGAGACTAGAAAAAACGTCCAAAAATGGGACTATACTTAAATGAAACAAAATTGAAGACAAACCAACAATTTAGAAAAGGACAATACCTAAAATATGTGTACACACGAAAAGAGTAGTACAATTTAGAAGAGAGTTCAAGATTTACATATTTAGGAGTAGTATTTACACGAAGATTAGATATGGAGACAGAATTATAGGCAAGATTAATGTCAGGAAATAAATGCATCCACGTTTTAGAACATTACTTATTAAGAAGCAAAAATACACCTAGAAAAGCAAAGGTAATACTTTACACGGCAGTGTTACCACTAATAGTTATGTATGCAAGTGAATCGTGGACAACAAACAAAACAGAACAGAAGGTTATTAAGGTAAGTAGGTATGTGAGAAGGAAATACTACAGAAGATTTTTGTAAGAAACGTGGAAGATGGTATGTGGTTAAGAAAGGCACATCAAGAAATGGGGGAATAATAAGTACTAGTAAGCGGAGAAAGATAGGCAGCTCTGTAGTTTAGTGGTAAGGGCACCCGCCCGGGAAGGGGAAACGTTGGGTTTGATTCCCACGGGGCAGCAACATTTTTCTTCGCTTACCTGCATTTGCAATTTAGAACAATTTTTTTTAAATACGGATTTGAATGAGCAAATATTACAAAAATTTTTACACACTTCGTAGGTTCTGCATGTATATTATTTATGATTTCTTTTCTGTATTTTCACATACCTTGTAATATAAACGGGGATAAATCTCTACATATCTGTATACAGTATCATAGGAATTTACATTGTGAAATCTTTAAGTCGTGTTAATAGTTTTTCCAGTTCGAATTTCTAAATTATTTTTGGTACACCTTTAGTTCACATTACTTTTTATAAGTTCTGACAGTGGCGGCTGGTGACCTTTTGAAATGGGGGGACACAATTTGATTGATGAGTTAAATATGAAGATATAAAACAGGTTGTTATTACCAATTAATAGACGAAATGGTGTGACGGAAATAAATACAAAAATACATTCAATAAAAATAAAAAAGGATTTCTCCACATATCTTTTTGCCTTCGGTGTTCATGGCATCTAAAAGTTCATTTTGGACCTTTGCTTCTTTCAAATGATCTGATAAAGTCTAATTCAGCCATAAAATCAATCAGACCTCGAAATATACCTGGATTTTGTGATTCCCTACTTTCGTCATGTCCACGTAAAGCAAATTCAAACACTCCACAAAATTTTATGCACATTATCAATCGGCGTAATATATGGCGATTTTTGTGGACCCTTGCGTTATATGCCCGAATATTATTAATATAAGCGGTGTGTAGTTGTTTCCGAATGTCTGTATTATCGAGAAGATTATTCAAGAATATTTATCATACGTGTTCGCGCAGAATGAAAATTAAAATCCGCGATAATAACTCAACCCTCCAGAGCACGATCGCAACGGACTCACAAACCAGTTGTATCAGGCGCATATCAGGCGGCTACGACGTGTAGTTTCCATGGCAACCATGTAAACAAAACATCTAAATCAGCCATGATTCGGTCCATTCGGTCTTTGTGCCGGGCTTTTATCAGCATTTCATCAGAAATAACATATCATATATCCAAGAGACATCTTTAGATGCAAGTGGAAGTAAGTTTTGATACATTTTATACAAGTGGAGCGAGATAAAAAAATTAGTTTTGATAATTATGACACAAATTTTCGGATAATTTTTTAAATATTGAAAATTACTATTTTGTTATGTCCAGTGTGTTTGTAGACGTTGTAATTTTGGGGGGCACGTGCCCTTGTGCCCCCCGGCACCAGCCGCCCCTGAGTTCTGATAAGAAACCAAAGAAGTAAAAATAGTACAATTAAAAATGATATTTAATTTTTTTTTTGAAATGTGTCTCCTGACATACATACAAAAAAAATACCCATTTATATAATTCAAGCTTCAAACAGTTGTGGCCTATCATTACCAATGTATTACGACAATCTTGCGTGACAATTGTAATTGTAATGACGGCAGACGACTAGCTTCAACAAATTAACTAAAAATCAGAATTGTTTTTTTTTTTTTTTTGGAAAAAATATGTAAACGAAGCATGTACCAAAAAGAATTTGGAAATTCGCACTAGAAAAACCATTAATTAGTACGAGCTAATAACATCATTAAAACTTAAATAGAACAATTTTTAGACTGTCTATATCCAGATTCAAAAATTTGAAGTCGGATTTATTAACCTTCAACATCTGAACACGTGCAAATCAGAGCGTTTAGAATTTGTGCACTTTGTTTGGTCCGAGGAATTTTTGTTTAAAATCTCAATGATAAACCAAAAAGTTCCTACGATCAAATTGATATAAAATTAGAGAAATGTTTGTTCTTTCACGGAAAAATTACCTACTTTTTTAGAGCGTTGTTCCACATACCAAATTTGATTAAAATCGCTTTAGTGATTAGTTTTAAACAAAAATAATGTGCACATTGTATTTTACTTGCTCGGAATTTTCATTTTACGGTATTAAAAAAAAATTATAATAATACGATATTGTTATCTGCATTATCGTATAAAAATATTAAACAAAACCGATACACCTACACCGGTGATGAAGATTGTGCTGTTTCGATTGAAAGGTCTCATATAATAATAAACATAAAACAAAAACGTGGGCGGTACATTATTTCTCTTCCCTAACATAGAAGCAAAATACCTCTTTATCTTGCCTCTTGATTCCTTTCTTTTAATTTTTTCATTATCGACAAAATCAATATCACAAAGCTATTTTTTTGCAGTTTTGGGGCAAATTTGGAGAATAAGGCAGTTTTTCATTTAACAATCAACGAATCAACAGTCTAATTCTTGAGCAATCTAACAGACGCAAGCTGAATTTTAGCTCCGTTTGTGACGAAATGACACATCGCTTGTAAATATATTACGCATTCTTTATTTTCTATGTCAGGAACAACAAATTATATGAACCATATTTGTACACAACACAATTACAGCGTTACTTTTGTTTAAAGTAATCTGACAACCCTTTTAATCACATCATTTTAAGTTGATATAGTGGTATTTGTTCACTGTTGCAATGCTCTAGGGAGACCTCTCTCATTCTGGGTCATCAGTAACTTACTTCCAACGATGCTCTTAATTTGACATCTTTGTTATAAATCACATTCGATTTATTATCATTATTATCTACTTAGCCATTTTTGTTAAGAAAACTTAAATTTAGGTGTTATCTACTTACTACTAAAGCTAATATTGTCATGATTAACTTTTCTCTATTAGCCCTTTCCCACGTATTAAGTTCGATATTGCACATATGGAAGGTATTTAAGGTAGGATGATAGGCGCCTTCTGAACAGGCTGAAGTAGTCCATCCTTCATCACACGTACATTCTCTTGTAATATTATCGAGACTACCGTGGTGGCATTGAAAATTTACCTAAATTATAAACACTATAAAATTTTTTTTGACAGAATAAACAATACAATGTACCAAATTAGAAACACTGTGACATTTTTCGACGTATCCACCTTCTATCATTTCTAAGTCAGATTTGCAAACTGGTTCGTGAAGTTTTCTGCAAACATTACTTCTCGGCAAATATACAGCGTTTGGAGGGCATTCTGGAACTGGCTGGCACATTTTAAGGTCTTTATTGAGGTAACTTCTTCTTGACGAATATTTAACAACGCAATCAATCGGACAACAGCCTTCAGAGTTACTGAGATCTTGTGAACTGCACGTGTGTGATGAATCACCTTCAAAGTAAAATATGATATTGGGAAAAAAACGAACTATTATTATCTTGTCAGTGATCTACTTTAATCGTTCTTATTTTATAACCCACACTAATAAAAGCTAACTTAACACAGAATCGAGATCACATAAGTCAAAAAACAGCTTCGGGACGAATACTGCGTGAATTTTTTGGTACACCGTACTTACCTTCGTCATCCTCATATACCTTATTTGAATCAAAAAATATTTCTTTTCTAACTTCTTCGACGTTATCGTCAGTTTGAAAGTGCAAGGATACGAGACATTTTCCAACTCTATTTCGTAAGTACTAAAAATTTATGTGCTGTAAAAAGATAGCAACCTTTCAATTTCATACCAAATTTGGATAAATAAGTGTAAGGTTTTTTACGCTTTTACTATCTATATATCCCATATCGCCTCCAAGTAAATACATATAGTCTGATGTTTCCAAATACGGATCTCCTTCGACACATTCCACGTTATATATCGACACAGGCATTTTGAAATCAAAAGTGTTTTCTGCTGTTAAAACTAAAAATATCTTTGTGGTGATTATAAAAGGGTGCGTAAATATTCTTACAAAAGATCATTCCTATGTCATCCTTCCTAATTGTGTACAAACCCGAGTTCTAGGGAAAAATTTTTTTTCAAAATCTATAGTGCAGTGAAGGAAAGAGCTTACTTGTACGACAACTGTGCTAAATGTTAACTTCATGTTTAATAAAAGGTAAAATAAAAATATGAACATGAAATGTAACGGCACATGACACTGTCATTATTACGAAATGCCAAAACACAGATCTTACTTTGTTTTTTTATAAAACAGAATTCATTCCTTGATTTATTAACCTATACCAGTAAAATGCGGTTTTTCTTGAAAACGTTGTGTTTCAACATTCATTTTTCAATAATTATCATACTGCTTCAGATTCATTATTATAATACCCAGTGTTTGGTTAAAAGGGAAACATTTTGAAAATATTATGAAAATATTATAGTTTTCAAAAATAAGTTGGCAATAACTTGATGAAAGTGACACGAAAAACACATTACGGTGAGAAGAGTTATATGAAAAAATAAATTACTTTTCTAGGTATTTGAGACATTTTAGTATTTGTAGGTGAGGCTAAAGCTTCAGGTTTAAATTTTGATTAACGAACCTTTTCACTTGACTTATTCTACAAAACTGGAAATGTCTCGATATTTCATGACTCCTAGAGTATGAAAACATAGGTCTTCCGTTTCTCTGTCGTCCGAGGTCTCTTGGCGATTTTATTAGATATATAATTTTCAACAGTACTGAAAAAGGTATTACATGTTTTTTTATCCGTAGTTTTATTTTAATTTATAGGGGTTATTAAATCAAATTTTCTAATTTGTCTAAGAAGATAGATTTGCTTTATTGTACTTCAGGGGCGAGGGAAGTTTTGTCTAAATAAGTTTAAACCAATTTTTCTAAGTAAAGTAATTTATGAGCAATTACTTCTTTAAAAAAGAAGAGGATTTATTTATTTATTAGATTTGGGTAGTTGTTAATAAATCTACATCAGTACGTTCTTTTTTGACTAAAAAATAGTACGTTTTAACTACTTCAGAACCGTTTCCACTAACTTTTTTTTAAAGATCCTTCATAATACATTCGGGTTCGGGTTGGGTAGGAGGTATGAAGTCGAATGGATACTTTCAGTTGTTCGTTTTTCACTCAGCAAGTTTATTATTCTGAAGACGCTTGGGAATATAAAGTCAGGAATAAATATATTTCAATGTTGTCAGTTTATTTCTGTATAAACAATATTGCACCATAATACCTATATTACAATAAGCCCATTTGTGATACAATAAACAACATTTTTAGAAGCTTATATAAAGGCGAGATATAGAGAGCAAGCCAGCAAAAACAAAGAAGGGTACAAACTACCTGAAAATCTACAGAAATGTTAAACTACAAAGTAGTCGTAACAAACAATTCTGGTCGACTGCAGAAAGAAAGATCAATGTACCATAATTTAACCACAAAGTTACTCCCCAGGCGCATTTCACTTGCCACATTTCTGCTGCATTAACATCTCTCAAAACTAGTTTTAAAAAATATTATTATGTGCGTCAACTATGAGCAGAAAGCAAAATACGCTCGGGAGTCGTGAGAGCACAGACCGTTCATAAAGTGTGGAGCGTATGGACAATTTGTGCCCTAAGTTTACATTATAAAACTTCAAGTTATCACAAGACTACATTTACTAAAACAACATTATTATTAAAATATTCAGTTCCAAAATCAGAGTCACCAAAAATTGGACAGATGCAGTGATCTCGATATTGATAATCGTAGACGTGGCTACAACGAGGTCTGACAAACTTCTTATATAGGTACATTTCTTATTAACAATTATTTCCTAAAATGTCTTCGTGTCAAAATCATACATGCGGAGCGAAAGAAAGGGGAAAATGAAATGAGGTGATGGTTTTGACACTCAGCGTTTTGATATTAGTATAAAAAGTATAATTTTTAAGTAATACGAAACGAGTTGATATTATTTGTATGACGGACCACTAATGAATCTTAAGGGTGGTCCAGACGACGGCGCTTGGGTGGTTCACTGCACCTATTTCACAATTTACTGTTCGCGACCGGCCATTTATCACGAATAACGCCTCACTCGCAGGCGTCACCATGTACTGCCCAAACAAACCTGAAAATATTCGATTAGAAGTAAATTCATAGAGCAAAGAAATACCAAGGATATGTTCTTAAAGTAACAGATTTACGCACACCTTAAGACGAATATTTGTATCGCGTATTCAGTGAGAGCAAATATATGTATAATTCACAACATAGAAAACGAAATACATTTTATCTCTATGTCATAGTTCTGACATTGTCACCGCGCGTCACTATGACGTCAATCAGCATCATTTGATTACTCAGTTAATCGTCTTAAATTTCAAAACTGTACTTTCGGCGATATAACCACATTAAAGCCGCACTGTATATAAATAATGAACATTTTCGTAAGGCTGTAATTTAATATTTAATATTACACACTTATCAAAGGATCAAGTTACGTTTTCATCCTTTAACCACAATTTGTTAATCCATATAAATCAACCTGGAGTATCTTCACATCCGAGCGAAATACACTGTCTGTGTGTATCCTGGAAATGGTTTTTAATTTTGCCAGAAAGTTATAAATTTCGTCACATAAATCATTTTATAAAAATTTTTGTCGGAACGGCCTCTCTACGATAATTCCTAAAACATTTTAATATGCAATTTTTTGGTAGAATGAACGTTTATAAAAAGCTACTCACTGTGAACGTTAACGTAGCATAAATTAATCGCTAAATGTATTATAAAAAATACATAACCCAGAGTAAAGGTACGTTGAATTAGTTTACATACAAAATATCGGCATTAAAAATAACAAACGAGCAAAGATTATGCATAGATTTTTTCTGTTTTTTTAATAATAGCAACTTCTATTTGAATTTCAGATTTAGGGAGATCGTACATACGATGTATTTGATTTTGCAAGCTGTCTATTGTAATACGATCCATTTTACCGACTGCCTAATTTCAAATTTTCTTGACACTTCACTATTAATAGAATACGAAAATGTATGTTGTTCGTTTCTGTATGTTCTTGGCAAGATACGTCCAGTTGGCATTTGGTTTCTTAATATTGTGGTGTCCCAGTGTGAATTTAAAATCTCGAGCGTCGGACGACCAGTAAGAAAAGGGAGTGATGTAAAAGAAGAAAAAAAAACCAAGAGGGTGGTTTTTGAGTAGGGTAGTTTGCCTCGGCGAGGTCCAATTTCTTGCTCTGTGCAGTTGCTGCATTTTGTTGTCTTTTTTCTGTTTTTTTCCAACTAATCAATCAGCCAACAAAACAATGGAGCTTTTTTCACTTTAGTTATAAATTCTTGGTTAGTTCTTCGTTCCCAAGCATTTTCAACTTTCTTAACTCCAAATATTTTTCCAAGAACCTTTCTTTCTATTTATGACATCATTTCAAAAGACCATTAAATAAATCTTACTTTAATGATTACAACATCAAATTCCTTTACTTGTGGTTCAAAAATATTTGAAACTTAATTATTTTAGATTTTTGGCAAGATACAAACATTTTTCTTTAAAAAGCATAAAACGCATTAGACGCACAGTGTTGTGACTTTCCGGTACAGGAACATGAAAAATAATAGAAAATTATAACTGAGGTGGTCGTGTTGAGGAAAGGAACTGTCTGATTTCGCTTTCTTCCTAGTTGGAAAAGGTATACTTACGGGCAGTTTGAAGTCCAAAGCAAGGTGTTTAGAGGCATAACTTGGACACTCTTATAAGGTGTGATGGATTGTTAATGGGTCGTTACATCTATTATAAAAGGGTTAGCCTTCGTATTATAGGTGATGGATGTGGTTAAGTTTATTTAGGTTCAAATAACTCCTTCACGTCTAGGAGGTCGCCCTAACCATTTTTGGATATTCGCTTTAATAGTGCTCAGTTGAGATGTTGCGACTATAACTGTCATTCTTGATATACATAGAGGTATTCTTTGACTTCAATTTGATTGCGTTGAGTTCCAGGGACAAACCAGAATTTGACCGAACTTGATTGACTTCATCGTTGATAATTATTATGACATTATGCAATGGGACCCAAATAAAGTGAACAATTTTACGGAGACTTGGAGGAGTGGGGCTATAGATTTTTTTGTAGTAGGCGCAATGATCTTAACAAAGCTGTGCAGAACACATTGGGTTGGAACGGGTGATGATTTCTACAGGATATAGGGTTTTTAACAAGCTAGAGAGTGGAACGGTTAGAATACAACGGGGTCTAGGAACGAAGGAGATTTATGACGATGTGGGAATTAACGGTGTGCAGTTAAGAGCTTTGTCAGTTTTGCAAGCATCGGTAAATACAACAGAAACAGTAGAAATGATACGTACCAGTGCCTGAAATTTGGCACAACAAACAAAACGGGAATCTAAAGTTTGTTTGGAAAAATTGGCATAACCCACGCTGTCTCGAAAATGTTCTTTAAATCAAAATTAAAACTTTGTCGGTATTTGAAAAGACGTTGTAAATTTTCGACTCCAACATATCTGGCAGGTAGCCGTAACTTTTAAAGGAATAAAACAGAATTTCAAGGGCATCATGTAGTTCTTCCATCGATAGTAGCTGATTCAAGAGAATAACCAGGGTTGGAATAACCATTAAGCAAAATAAATACGTGCTTAAGGTGTCAAGGGAAAAGGGCACCACAGACATTTTTCGTACCCGAATTTACCATGGTCCATGGGCGACATAGTTAATGATCCGATTTGTGACAAAATCCACTCGAAAATTCCTAAAGCTATATTTGAAATGAGAGTGTCTTATAATCCTCATCTGATACCAGATGGGAGGTACCTATGATAATAGAAGCAATTTTGAATCTTTCTCTGAAAATTTTAGAAACATTGGAGTATCTAGTTGAAGACCAGTCGCAAAAGGGAGATGCTAGAAAAGAAGCCAATAATCTTGCACATAAGATGCAATAGTTAGACTTTGTGAGTTGCATTAGCGGAATTGGTCAACTTGAAATTGGCCTTTAAGCCAAGTTCTAGAAAATGAGAATGTGAACTTAGGCACATGTGTAGATCTGTATAGATTATGAGTTGACGAACTGTTTACTTCACAAGATAAATTTGAAAGATATGAATGTCGACTATAAAGGCAGCTAAGCTAAACTGGCGTCTCATCAAATAGGTACCCAATGACGGAAATGCACCAGAAGTATATTTGGATGCCGGAGATAAATTTCTTTTCCTTTGACACAATTATTGACAAACTCGAAACGGAAATGAAAAGAAGAGGAAAGGTGTATAAAGAAATACCAGAGAGATTTTCATTCCTAATATATGAACCACATAATGACCTTTTATCATTTACTAACATTGAAAAAAATTTTCATTGCCGTCAAAAACCGATGATGGTTACCTAAAGGACTTCAACAGTAATTTCTCAGCTGAGCTTCAGCAGTTTCATTCATATGTGCCATAAGTTCAGTGTAGGAAAAGTGTAAAAACCAAACTCATGCTGAACTTCATAAAACAACTGTGGAAGACAATAATGCATTCGCGTTTTTAAATGTAGACGTTGACTTTCGTATATTAGTAACATTAAGGAGTACAAATTACACAGCTGAGTGTCCATTTTCTCGGTTGAAGGATACTAAAAATCCTGTCAGTACAACTATTTATGCACGAGCTATACTTTGACCAGAATTCTTGTGCGGAGTCTGCCTCAGGCGTCTATTGACTTCCACTAATTTTTATGCGGCAACCGAGATGGGTGGGGGGAAATTGTTGAGATGGACCGTAGTGAAAATTTTATTGCCATCGACAGTGGCACTCAAAAAAAATCCCTATCTTTTTTCAATATCACACGTTTGTCACCTAACACAACCAAATCAGCATGATTGTACCTTATGTCCTATACTAGAAATTAAAAGGAAATAATGCAATGTTACGAACTAGAAAACCATTTGTGCCAAAATTCTTAATCTTCTAAGTACTTAAGGCATCTGCGGGTCTTAATCCGGCCCTGGATGAGCACTTTCATCAAGTTGCACTGAACGAGGACTAATGAAATTCATATCCGAAGATTTTCGCAATAGAGCTGTCTGATTTAGATACTGGATACTGGATGGTACTGCTTTAATTTTTTTGATCTTCCTCCAAACTTCGGACACTGATGGAGTACCAGACGAAATGTTGAGACGTAGTGCCGCCATGATTCTTACTTTTTTTGAGGACATATTTTTCATGTGCACGAAGACGTCTGAATTTCATCAGATTTTTTGGAGTATTGCGACGTTTTAATCGATTGAAATTTGCTGTGCTCTGTGTCAGCGCTTCTTGGCATTTAGCATTTGTTTATGTGCATTTGAGGCTTTGTTCACGGCTGTTTCTCTCATAAGATGCGCCAAATTTGTTATTCTCTCAGTGGTAGAAGCTACAGCATCTAATGCGGTGAGTTGTAAATCCAATAATTTTGATAATAAATCCCTGCTATATTTAGTTAATCTCCACTATGGTTTGGGGTTATGCGTTCACTATTTGCAAGACCGACATGGATTCGGTAGCTATCGCTATTATCACGAAAAATTGATTTGTTTGATTATTTCAGAAATATCATAATCATATTTTATGTCCTGAAATTAATATATGTAGCGATTTATATTATTACTTACTTATATCCACGAATCACGAGATGAAGACTTTATCTCAAAAAATTATTATATAATAATAACTATTTCAAAAAAAGAAAACAAATTTATTCCAAATCATTTGTTACGATGTATTACTCACAGAATCGGGGAAAAACGAACATAATCCCCAAGAACTATCTTCAAGGTGCTTCGCGTTTCTACGATTTTATGTTTTTTATTTTGCCTTCACAATGGACTTCCAGTTTTATTGATGTATTTTGCCATAAAGATAAAATGTATAATAAATATTTGTGTGGATTTTGACTATCACTTCACACTTTACAAGAACAGTAACTGCATTGACAAAGCAAATTTTATAAAACAAATAAATGTAAACATCGTTCCGTGATATAATAAAGTGTAATTAACAAAAATCGTTCTCTAGTTTCCTAGTTTATTGCACAACGTACAAACAATAATAGGATTTTTTTTATCTCAAACTCGCAATTCAGATTTCAAAATGACCCTAAACAGCACCAGATACTTTAAAGTAAATGTTGCAAAAAATGCATTCACAAAATTTACAAAAGTTCTGAGATAGCACAGATTACGATAAATGATGAAACTTAGTGAATTTGAATAATTTAATCTCAATTTTGAGATAAGCGTTACCACGTGCACATTCGTGATGGAAGATTTTGAAAGTTACAGAATTTGTCGGGGTTTATCGGAGATCTAGGTCGTCTAGGAGAGCATCCAAAGGAGTGTCTAGAATGGATAAGTCTCTATTTGTTGTGGTTGAAGCAGTTCGCTTTTATTCCTGGAGTTTTTGAAGTCCTTTTGTTCCAAACTAGTTGCAGAAAATTTTCTTGAGAGCGTACTTGTAGCTTATGAATAATGTGTTATTCTAATCTAATCTTTTCATAAGATGAAATTTCATTAATTCAAAGCACGGTAGCTAATTGTAGACAAACTTTACAGTTTTCATCTGTTGATTAAGCTTTTACTATTCTCAGTGCAGGTCGACTGTTAAGTTTCGTGAAATGCAGTCATATTACAAATTAGTGTATTTAAGAAGTACAAGCGACCTCTAAAAAGGTAAATGAAGTATCTGTTTAACGTATACCACCTTGGAACCGTTCCACTTTACTGCCATAGAACTGGACGCTTCGTATTCGGCAGTCTATCGTTAATTTCACGGCGTAAATGTACTTCAGTTTTACAAAATTTTGTAACAAAGTTTTCTAAACTCAGGGTTTGTTGAACACATCGATCAAATTATAAAACCGTTCAAAAATATTAATCATAGTAAGTGTATGCTCTGTGGACGGAAATATTCGTTTCAATTTGGTGCAGTTTACTTTAAAAACGCTACATCTCCATGTTTTAAAATTCATAAGGAAATATCTATTAATGCATGAACTACTGGTCTCACCTGATCCGCTGATTGGTCTGTTAGGGTTGTTCCATTTGGTCAGTTTCATGGGAACTGCTTTCCCGACTCCAGTGATTATCTCCACTTTACCTGAAACGTGTGTTTATTTTTTTTAAACAATACAAATTTGAAAATCAAATAGGGTAACAAAAGTTTTATTTAATTTATAATTAATTCATCTAAAAGTAGCGCCAATCAGTCAATTTTAGCTGATCCAGCCGCTTCTACCGCATTTTTAATTGCGCCTCATAATATAATATGACGAAAATAAATAAATACAGATGTATAGAACAAACAGAAGCTTTCTGCGGTTTTCGTTAATTCCTTGTCGTGATGACAATATCATGTTAGGATTTTTTTTAACCTCGGGTTGATAACTTCCTTTCCCTAATTGGGTGACTTGTTATGTAAAACATGTCCATGTTTTGGTTTATTTATCATGAGAAATTTAAAAAAGGTACATATTTGGTTGATCAACCGTGGAAATATAATAATTTTTACGTCGATCGATCCTAAATAATTAGTAGCAGGTGATTCGACACATAAATTTATTAAATCCTCTGTCTTAGTTTCCAGTTTTTAAAAATTTCTTGTCCCTAAGTAATTATGTTTACGCTTCTTGATTTTGCATTATTTGTAGTTTTTGTGGTCGTACCAACCTGTTAATAAATTAAGGAATAAAATATCTTCTTTATCTTGGGCACTTGCGTAAATATCATAACTGTGAGTGGTTTGACTAGGATAGAACGTGACATCCGATATATTCAGGGTCGTTTTCACATCAAAAGAAAACACGAGTCCATTTTCTACAAACAGAAAAATCAGCAATATTTTATCTAAAAATAAAAGGGCCTACCTGTTATTTCTTGAACGATAAGGGTAGCCCTATTGTTTGTACGATCTAAAGTAACGAGTTTTCTGGAATCTGGAGATATGTACGGGATTCCAGGCAAATTTGGTTTAGTTCCAATAACCGTATCGGTTAGGTAATCCAGAATCAATTGACCGGTCGGCCTGTTAGTGACAGGTTCCAGACATTGCATTATTACTAAACCGTCTGTAAAAAAGTTAATTTTTAACGCTGAATCCGATCTTCGGCGGATCACTTACACAGCGCTGAAAACTGAATTTGAGTTGGAACGCAATTATAAGGGGTTAAGTCTACTGATCTCGTATATCTTAAATTAACGAGATCAAGTTTATAAAGACCTCTTTGATTGGTATGTGTTGCGTAGCCGTATTTGAAGCTGTAGTGCGAGAGTTCCTGAAATGTAATGAAAAGATCATTTAACAGACACGGTTTTTATAGAAGAAATACTTGATCCGGGGATGGAATGAAAAGGCCTTTTACTAAATCAAAATGCCCATCGATTGGTTCGGGATGCACTGTGTGGTGCTTCCTTTTCTGGCCGGCATCTCGGATTACCTAAAAAAAGAACAGTTAAAATTTGCAGCGATAAAAGCTTTCAGCGCTTTTCACCTGAATGGTTTTAATGCCGGTGTTGTTTGTTGATCGCCAGTTTAGAATCCACACCTGATCTAAGTGAGGAACGTGGAATAACTCCACCGGGTATTTATCAGTACTAACAACCTAAAATAATGACCTCAAGTTGTTATACTTTCTACTATAAATATTTTTAATGGAATCTTTGCCGTACTTACATCAACTACTACCATTTGAACTTTGGAAATAATAATAACTCTATCTCTTTCTGGTTGGCTTGCGTACACATATCTGTTAGCAACATTTATTGCACGTCCCCAGGAACACTTGATTCCTTTATCGCCGCACACGTATTCCTGAAAAATAAATTTGCTAAAACTGAAAATTTTTACATTTTTACGTCAATTTAAATCAATTCTAATAGCAACAGAACTAATTACAACTATTACTGGTGAAAATAAATGCCGTTAATGTTTTATGTTCTTTACAGTTCCGTTTTTTCGTCTGAATAAAATGTATTCAAACAGGATAATGCTATTATATACACCAAAGAAGGAAACAGCTGACTATTTTAAGATTCTGACCCACTCGAGTGGTTGCTTTATCTCGAAGTTTTTTGTTTACTTTCAGCGTATTACGGACGGTGAAAAAGGGTTATTTATTTACAAAAAACGAAATAGTATTGTTGAAAAACGACGTTTTAAGCAAGCTATGCTCTAACTTAATTGATTAAAAAAAAAACGCACAAATGTTTCACAAATTTTTTTACAAACATCTGACACTGACGAGAAATAGCTTCTGTGAAACTGAATGTGTATACAATGATGCTTTGAAATTATAATATTCAAAGTTACGTTCATTATGATACAAAAAATATGGACATTGTGAACAATAGATCGTTCCAAATGAATTCCGAAACACATTGAATTGTCGACTGTAAAACAAGCTTAAATTAATTACGGTTTTTGCACTGTTGTTTGCGTAAATATGAGCGTCATCAACTGTGTTTAAATTTCTAGTGTTTTTGCTTGTCTTTTGCAGCTACAAGAATAAAAGTCAGATTTCTAGAACTATCGAAATTGTAACTTCCGTTGCATTTTTTACAGAGTACCTTATCGGTGTGGGAAAAAAATTTCAAGTACAGTTCATTATTTAATAGGACTACTTTTCAAATTCAAACGTCTGGGAGAGAAGGAGGCTTGAAATTGTCATATCAGTATGAACGTCTTGGAAAAAAATAAAATTTTGTTAAATAAACCTCACTTGGAATATCCACCGTAACATATTTTTTTACTTGTGATTTAATAATCTACTTTGCTTTTAATTTTAGGCATACCGACTATTTTAAAAGAGAAATAGTAAAATAACGTTTTATAATTAATGTTAGAAAAAGAACTCGCTTAACAATTTTCTTTCAAGTTATGATAAATATTAACACTGAAGTAATAACGCCGAAATGGAAGCTAACATTTCTTCATTCCATATATATGAGCATACTCTGACGTCTCTATAAAATTGTTGATGAATTCATTTGTTTCACAAAGAACGAACAATTTAATTTCTAATATAATATACATTTATATTAAAGTTACTGCACTTATATTAACTAAGAAATTGAGGATGCCGTCGCAAAAAATATTAAATGAATCTTTATAAAAAATGTGGGTGTCCTACGATGGAACATTACTTACATTTGATTAATAATAACCTACTGACTCTTTACTTTTAGGTTTTCTCGACCTTTCATGACCCCTAGAGTACGAAGAAATAGGTCTCCAGTCTGTCTGTCTGTCGTCTAACTGGATTTTTATTAGACAGATAATCTCGGAGACTACTGCACCGATTGTTATAGAAGTTTGTACGTATATTAGGAATATCATGTAGATGGTAAACCGCTAACCAAAATTTGGCTAATCACCCCCACCAACAATTTGATGACGTCCGCCCATTATATTGCATAATTAACATTACCGATTTTGTATGAAATAATATACTCCTGTACTTGTAGTTTATGAATATTATCTTGATTTAGCTTATTATCACTATATATGTTTATTGTTTAATCCACCATGTTCTTCACCAATATAACACCCAACCTCCTTACTACAAATGTTCAACTTAGTGGTAAAATTCCTGCTTCACAAACCAACGACGGTATGAAACGATCGACGGTATTAAATTTAATAAAATTAATCACTCATTTTTTATTGATCAATTTAAGAAAAGTGAGAATACATATAACAATAAAATAATGATTTATTAAGAAATATATTAGAAACATTCAAAATGTTTTGTTCAATTAAGACTTATTAATAAATTTGGTCTTGTGTTTTGAGACGAAAAACTCATTCTAATCAACACATGTCTACGTGACATTCTTCAAACATTTCAAGCACTACGCATATTGCTGAAAAACCACTCATTCCGTTGGTTATCTGCTGTAAGTATATTTTACAATGTCCTACTTGTGCGGCGTCCGGCCAGAGGCAGATTTATAAGGATATGCTAGTGAGGGACCTCTTCTGGCCTAAACGTAGCGGAAAATAAAATTTGCTTGTTTTTAATTTGGTTATTATAAAAATACGATTTCGTTTTCCCCTGACCGTTTGTTGAACCATATGATCTTGACGGTCTAGGACAATTCGGCGCGGCCGACTTGGCGCGAGACATTTTGGCGCAGGGACACTTTGGCGCAGGGACACTTTGGCGTAAGCCATCTTGGCGCGAGCCATCTTGGCGCGAATGAACTTGCACCAAGAAAAATAGATATAAATATACAAAAATTGCACCCGTTGTTAGCATAACCTAATTTTTATACTCTCCAACGCGGGGAGGGGTAATGTCGACTTTTTAATGGACACACGGGCGCTTCGCGCCCTGCACCCCATTATAAACATACTCCTAAACGTGGAACTTCTTGCTCAGTGGATCATTTAGTTATTAGAATTTGTGGGAATGAAAATGTGTATTTGGTTGCCTACACTTAGCATAAATAACAGGGTGCCAACCAAAGTACGAGCAATAAATATTTTTTATATTATATACCGACGTACTCGCGCCAAGATGGCTCGCGCCAAGATGGCTTGCGCCAAAGTGTCCCTGCGCCAAGTTGGCTTTGCGCCAAAATGGCTCGCGCCAAGTCGGCCGCGCCAAGTTGGCCGCGCCAAGTCGGCCGCGCCAAATAGTCCCATTCCGTGATCTTGAGATTGTGCAAAATGCAAAATTGGCAATTTCCGGGCGTTCCAGTAATTTATGACTTGCAGCCAGTCAGTTACCTCCATAAAGAGCTGCCGCCGGCTGACGGTTAAGTTTTGTTTTCGGTATAGTTTTTCATTCTTATTTTGCTTTTCTATTCGTTCAGTAATTTTAAAAGTGTGCGGGACCTTCTACCCATTTATCAGCGAATTTTATTGTTTGTTAAAAATTAAAAAAATGTGCTTGCATATTTAATTTTATGCGGAACTATCCTTATTGGAATCAACACTGCTTACGGCTTTCAGATAATTATCACAGTTTTGTTCAAAATTAACCTTACAATTTATTCATTAAGTATTAGATTAATAATATGTCTGAGAGTAAATAATATCTAAGTGGAAGCTAAAAAAGGAAACTTCCAACATAACAACATAATGGAGTTGGTAAAATGTCGTGAAGTAGTCACAGTCAAGTTTTTTTACACCTCATCCTTCTACTTTCTTGTTTTTATTTTTCTACATATTTTAAAATATTGACAACATGTAAATTAAATTTTCTAGGCAACGGCACCAGAGGCTGCGGAAGTGTTATTTATGTCCTTGGTTTTTACTTTATATTGGTAACCACAAAACAAATATCGTAAAATTTAATTTTATAGTTTTTCAAAAAAGCGGGATTTGTAGGACTTACTTACTTCAGACGCGAGGGAAGTTCAATCGAAATAAACTTCGGCCAATTTCTTAGAATTGCTACAATTACAAATGATATCTTAAAAATGAATGTATGGATTGATTTATTTTATCTACTAAGTTGTTTCAAGAAAAGGTATTTCTGACATAAAGTGCATAAGAAGTTAGATGTTAATTAATTTTACGGATAATATTTGTGTCAAAACTGACGAAGTTTAAACTACTTGCATGTAGATTATTCATCGCTTTCTCTTCTTCTCATAAATAAAGACAAGTAATTTTAATGACATGCGACATGTAAATTAGTGAAGACATTAGCAGAGAAGATACTGTATTTGATACAAATACGATAACTGAACTAATGAAATAAGGTGCTGAGTGGATCCTTATGGATCTTATGATCTATTTTGATAAAAATGAACACAAAAGTGACTTTCGATGGTTAATGTGATTATATCTTACATTTGTGGCATTTCAAAGTTGATTACTTTGATTGAATTTTTTGATGGATTTTGTTGCCGTTATGACGATCCTGTATACCTACTTGTCAATAGGGTGTAAATTGTTTTTGGTACCAAGCATACGTTAATAGTTATTTACTATACCCGATGGAAAAATTGTCACACGAGCCGAAGGCGAGGCGAGTTGGATAATCCATCATTAAGAAACATTACAATACAAATATTGTGCAACATTTTATCTACTTTCAATAATTTTCATAAATGACACAGTATTTTTTTTATTCCTCAGAGGATAATTTGCCTTCTGATACTGAAGTGGCTGCTCAATCTGCTAAAGATACGTTAATTTCTCCTAAATCTAAAGGGCGTTACGAGATAGTGTACAAATAATTTGGCGAATGGAAGGAGGTTAAAAAAATTGGTGACGTTTTTGAAAAGCTTGTTCTTGCTGAACAAGCAGAGAAGTTAAAACCATCCTTTTATATGGTGAAGATATTCCCTGTTCCGGACGTTGATGTCGATTAAGAAGAATACTATTGATATCAGCAAATATGATCAGGTTGTGGCTTTCTTGAAGCGGAAATCAGAAGGTTACCGACCTAGAAAATTGTTATTTTTTTCCAAGGAAGACATAAATCGATTTCTTAAGGAAATTAATGATAAGAATTTCTTATTTATGAAGGTAAATTGGAGTTCATATTATATGTATATAAAAACAATCTCAAATTTATTATACTTTTAGGGTGTTTTGATAGTCGGAGTTTTTGGTGCTTGTCAACGCGAGAAGATCACAAATTTGACGACACGAGACGTTAGAGACGAAGGATAATTTATCAGGATCACCTTACTGAATTCAAAAACTAAAATTGTGCGGGAAATTGTTATATAACGAGAGGAAATGTAAGAATTTTGCGTTCCAGTCAGACCAAGCGTGACAGATTCTTTCTTAACTATAGGCGAGTTAAATGTACCTAGCAACTGGTACGAATAAATACAATTGGAAGAATTCCA